TCCAATCTGCTGAACAGCCTCGAACCTGGGTGCAGGCAGGGTTTATCAGCATTATCACATCATTCATTGACTTTCTATCAGCTAAGGCAAGCAAGCACAACTTTAGCACAGAAGCTGAACGTGTTGCATTTAGCCCTTATTATTTTATTTTATTTTTTATTTTTGCTTTTTGGGTCACACCTGGTGATGCAAAGGGGTCATTCCTGGCTCTGCACTCAGGAATTACCCCTGGCGGTGCTCAGCGGACCATATGGGATGCTGGGAATCGAACCTGGGTCGGCCGTGTGCAAGGCAAACGCCCTACCTGCTGTGCTATCGCTCCAGCTCCTAGTCTTGATTATTTTGGATATGCATTTTTATTCTCTGGCAGCCGGGGAGAATACTACATGATGTCTATTTGTCTAAATGCAGTGTATTCCCAGGGTGTCCTGTCCCTACATCATTGAGGTGTTCCATTTTTCTGTTGTCTTCCTGAGTCACCTCGTCATACAAGCATCAATATCTTCAGATCTTTATGGCTTTCATGCTCAAATTTAGTCTTTGCAATTTTTTTCTTTTGGGGTTTTGGGGCCACATCTGATGGTACTCAAGACTTACTCCTGGCTCTGTACTCAGGGATTGTTCCTGGCAGGCTTGAGGGACAGTATTGGGTCCAGCTTTATAGATCTTGCTCTAATCCATTCTTATTTTTATTTGTTTGGGGGCTATACTTGGGGGTGTTTTGGGCTTGTGACTACACGGCTTGTTGAGATGAGTGTCACTCGTGGTGGATGGGAGCCCATATGCAGATGGAACCCAGGCCTTCTGCCTGCAAAGTCTGTCCTCCCACGCTCTTTCTGGCTCCTGTTCTGTTCTGGTGATACAGTTTACCATTAGCTGGAAGCATGGATCATTTTCTCTGGGGACTGGCGTTCTCATTTTTTTTGGAGTTGTGGCTAAATCTCAACATCTTCATGATTCCGGCTTGTCCTACAAACCTCCTATCTCTACATTGTACATCTCTAAATTGTGGAGGCACGTTTCTAATGTCACCATGATTTAGCACTGTGTGGTGTTCAGAGTAGCCTCACCCTCCCGTCTGACTCAGTTAGCTCGACCCACTGTGGTTTCCTGTCATTCTCACCAACTGGGACACTTGATGAGGCTTTCTCAGACCAACCATCTAAGCAGAGGAAACCGTCAAATTAAAACTCAGTACATACAAACTTTTTACTTGCCCCACCCCCACATTGCCACATCATCCAGTTAGAAGTTATAAACGATTTTTACAAAGCTATGAAACTCCTTTGTTAAAAAAAAAACTATCCTCAGGGGCTGGAGCGATAGTATAGTGGGTAGAGAACTTGCCTTGTACGCAGCTAACGTAGGTTTGAGTCCCAGCATCCCATATGATCTCCTGGAATGATCTCCTGCCAGGAATAACACCTCAGTGTAGAGCCAGGAGTAACCCCTGAGCATCACCAGATGTGCCCTCCCCCGCCAAAAAAAAAAAGTAAAAGAAAGCTAACCCCAAAACAAACCCCCCCCCCCGAAAATAAAACCTAGTAGTTTTAATTTAATGTGAAATTGGACCAGGGATGTGGCTCTGTGATAGGACACACACTTTGCAATGTGTGAGAAACTATTTCAATCCCCAGCATTTCCCAAAAACAGTGAATATAATCTAATAAGAGACTAATTTTCATAGACCTCTTTGGAGTTTTGTAGATTTTGTCATTAGAGTTGTATTTTCAGAAGCATACTTTCTGGGGTCAGAGTAGGAGCAGGTGAAGGAGACTGAGGCAGAAAACTTTCAGGGGATGAATTTAGATAAGGTCTGTTTATGGAGGGGAGTGTGAAATATTCATCAAGTTCCTTGACTAGAGGCCCATTGTTGAGTGGCCTTTGGTGGGTTTCTTACTCCGAAGTCCCTCCAGATGGATGTCCCACCTTTAGGATGCTACTGGACAGGAAGCCTGAGTTCAGAAACTCTGCCTCTAACATAACAAGCAGTGAACAAATGGACTCTGACTTGCAGGAAGACAGTACTTCACCTTTCTTTCTTTCTTTCTTTCTTTCTTTCTTTCTTTCTTTCTTTCTTCCTTCCTTCCTTCCTTCCTTCCTTCCTTCCTTCCTCTTTCTTTCTTTCTTTCTTTCTTTCTTCAGTAAAGCCAGGTAGTTTTTTTAATCACAATATTTGATTACACTTCATATTTGAACACCAATCCCACCACCATTACACCTTCCCACCACATTTTGGATGTCTTCATCCTGAACCTCAACCCCTGCCCCAAAGCAGAACTGAATTTATTTTGTATTTCTTGTGATGAAAAACCGCTGAAAATGTTACAAAAAGTTTCCTTAGAGGAAAGAGTATGAAGATTGTTGTATTTCACAATCTTTAAGAGCCATTAATCTTCAAGGGCCATTAAGCCCTTCTATAAGAGATCACTAACATGTTAAAGGTTGAGCCTTGTGTGCATAGGGATAGATATCTATAAAAAAATACATTTCCCTCTAAGATTGGTTGCCTCCTACTTTAAGCCCCATTAAATGTGGTGCAGTACTCTTGGAGTATGGGTGGTGTGAGGTATGAGTTGTCGCTTGGTCTAGGAATAGGTTCACTCGTGGGTGATACTCAGCCCGAGCGTGTGGAGAGCAGCTGTGAACAGGGCAGTGGTTGAGTTCTGAAGGTTTTCGGCTGCTGGGGCTGGGTCCCTTGGGGTGGGGATGGGTCTCACCCATCCCACTCCAGGGTACCCCGAATGAAATAGCCTGGTGTGGGATCCATTGGCATGGTTATGGCGTGTGTCCTATTATGCTCCCTTCCAGGAGAGAAGGACATGCAACTCTGGATTGTGACGGATGACAAAATTATCTGGCACCAGCCAGAGGTGGTTTAGGAGCATGATTGATGAGTTGCCAGTGCTTCCCTTTTCAAGGCTGAGAGCTTTGGCGTAACCCTGAGAATAGCCTGGGAAAATGGTGGCTGTGGCCTCCCATTCCTGGCATATCCAGCAAGATGTATAGGACTGCAAGCAATTCAGGGGTGAGTCTACCACGAACATGCCTTGTGATACTATCTGTGTTCCTATACTCATCACACCAGATGGTGGATTCACTCATACCTATTAAGGAAGATCTGGAAATAATAAAAATGCTCCCTTGAAGTAGAACAAGGAAAGCCTCTTTAACAAATGATGCTGGGAAAACTGGTCAGTCAGAGAGAGAGAGAGAGAGAGAGAGAGAGAGAGAGAGAGAGAGAGAGAGAGTGTTATATTCCTTTCTACTTTCTACTACTATGCCCAAAAGTCAACTTGGAATGGATTAAAGACATAGAAATCAGATCTGGATCTATAAATTGTATTGAGAATATTTAAATTATATAGAACACTTCATGAAATTGAATTTAGAGGCTTCCAAGCTTACAGAAGCCAAGATAAACAGGATTACATCCAACTAAGAAGCTTCTAAATGCACAAGAAATGACCAGAATAAAAGGACACCCCACAGACTGGAAGAGAATATTTAACCATCACTCATCTGATAAACGGTAACATCCAAGATATATAAAGCATTTCTTTGCTTGCTTATTTCCACTCTAGAGAAGCCCATAATCCCACTTTACAGAAAAAAAATTTTAAAAAGGTGGGTGGTGGGGAAGAGGGTTAGAGAGATAGTATAGTGGGCAGGGCACTGGCCTTGCATGTGACCAACCTTGCTCAATTCTGGGTACCCCATATGGTTCCCTCAGGCCCCACTGAGAGAGTGATACCTGAACGCAGGTGCAGAGTCAGGAGAAAGCCCTTGAGCACTGCTGGGTGTGGCCCCCAGACAAAGGAAAATTTGGGTGGGGGAGATGAACAGAAACCTCAGAGAAGACATACATATGGTCAAGAGACATAACAAAAAAAATGCCCAGAGCTAAAATTATAGTGCAGTAAGTAGGGCATTTGCCTTGTACTTGACTGTCCGGGTTTGATCCCTGGCATCCCATATGGCCCCCCAGCCCCTCCAGGAGTGATTCCTGAGAGCAGAGCCAGGAATAAGCCTGAAACACTGCTGAGTGTGACCCAAAAAAAAAAAAAAACAAGCAAAAAATAAAATGCTCTGCATCATTTATTAGGGAAATGCAAATCATATGCAAAAAATGAAATATCATCTCACACCAGTGAGACTGGCACACATCACAAAGAACAAAAACAACCAGTGTTGGTGTGGCTGCAGGCAAAAGGAGCCCTCAATCACTGCTAGTGAGAATGTTAGCTGGTCCAGCCTTTTTGGCAAAGCAACCTGGATACTTCTCAAAAAAATAGGAATTGAGCTCTCCTATGACCCAGCAATTCTGCATCTGGGCCTCTACCCCAGGGGCCCCAAACTCTATTCAGAAAGGATATTTGCATGCCTGTGTTCACTGCAGCACTATTCACAGTAGCCAAAACCTGGAAACAATCCAAGTGTCCAGATGATGGATAAAGGAACTATGGTACACATACATAATAGACCACCATTCAGCTCTAAGAAAAAATGAAATTATGCAATTTTCTGCTACATGGATGGATCTGAAGAGTATCACGCTGAGTGAAGTTAATCAGAAGGACAAGACAGCATGAACTCTCTCCTACAGGGGATATAAAGAAACATAGTAGGGGATTAATAAATACCCAATGGCAACAGAAACTGAGAATTGGTCTCCAATAGGAAGCTTAGCACAGTGTGTGTGTGGGATGGTGCTGGTGGGGAAGGGGCATAAGATGGGGGAGTGGGGTAATGGTTGAGGAAAGCTGAACACCAGTGGAGGGTGTGGTGCTAGAATGATCTCTGCAAGGAAGCCTTCCCTAAACCATGGTGTCTAAAATTAAATTAAATTTAAAAAGAAAATAAAACACCACCTCAGCACACTCTTCCTTTGCAATATCTTCTGCTTAGTATTTTACAACTACACATAAGGCATTATTTCTTTAGGATTTATAGTATTCTTCTATGATAATAAAAGTTGGCTTTCATAGACTTCTGGTGACTTAACTTCTTTTTCTTCTTAGATAGTCACCTGAAAAATAAAACCAGCCTGGTTATTTTGTTTGTTTTGCTTTGGTGAAGCAAGATAGTTTTCATTGAAATTATATATATAATATGTATTCATATATATAAATTTATATATCACTGTCACTGTCACTGTCCTCCTGTTGTTCATTGATTTGCTCAAGTGGGCACCAGTAACATCTCACAACAAATTGTGAGACTTGTTGTTACTGTGTTTGGCATATCAAATACGTCACGGGTAGCTTGCCAGGCTCTGCCGTGCGGGCGAGATACTCTCAGTAGCTTGCCGGGCTCTCCGAGAGGGGTGGAGAAATCGAACTCGGGTCGGCCATATTGGCCGCTTGTAAGGCAAACGCCCTACCCGCTGTGCTATCCCTCCAGCCCAAATTTATCTATAGATACATTTAAATAAATAATATATATAAATTTTGTTTTGAGGCCACACTCAATAGTGCTCAGGGGTTACTCCTGACTCTGCACTCAGGAATCACTACTAGCGGTACCTGGGGGATCAAAGGGATGCTGGGGATCAAACCTGAGTTGGCCCTATGCAAGGCAAATGCCTTGCCCCACTGTACTGTTGCTCCAGCCCTGAAGTATATCTTGGCGGGAGGTCACAGCCCTCCCGTTGTTCATCGATTTGCTCGAGCGGGCCCAGTAACATTGTGAGACTTGTTACTGTGTTTGGCATATCGAATACGTCACAGGTAGCCTCCTCCCTTACTCCCCTCCCCCCTCCCACCTCCCCTCCTCTCCCCTCCCCTCCCCTTCCTTCCCTCCCTCCCTTCATTCCTTCTTTCCTTCCTTCCTTCCCAACAGCTAAATGATTCGAGAACTGCCAAATCAGGGTCCTCAAAGAAACACGAGCACTAGGAAGTGAGACCTGGCCAGTCAAGAAATGAACATTGGGGAAGGGAACAAAGCTGACTCTTAGATGGAGGGGGACAAGTGTGCTGGCAGTGTTCCACACTGGGATTCAGTTTCCCTGAGTCTCCATCAGTGGTAAGGCTAAGAAAACCCAGTGTCTTTCCACGAAATTCTCCCTTTCTGCCCTGGTTGGTTTCGGGAGGGTCTTCGTGATTGGCAGCCAACAGAGCAAAGGAAGACAAGACAGGGCAGGTGGTGGGAGAGGTGGGGAAGACAAACTCACCCAGTTTCTCTGTGGCTTCCACACAGACACTGGGGTACATGCCTTTGGTGTAAGTTGACACCACAAGATACAGATGAGTCTTCACAACAATCACACCAGAATCTCCCTGGATGAGAATAAAACAGAATGCCCTTTCTTCTCTTGGTTCTAATCACAGGATTAGTAAACCCTAGTCCCATTTCTCATCATTTACATACTATCATATAGCCACTTATTTTTTGTTCTCACTCTCTCTTCTCTTTTCCACTAATGCAACTGCCTTTCCTGTGAGAGTTGCAGACCATTGTAACTACAGCATATGTATTTGGAAGACATCTGATTGTAATAGCTCCCAATGTCCATGAGTTCCACAAAGAGAATGGGATTTAATCATGGAACTTAAAATTAACACATTTTGAAATGGGTCACTATGGCTTTTAAACCCATAACATAGCAGGAAAGAACAACAGCAGAAAAGAATGGAGTAACGCCAGGGACAGAAAGTAGACCTGCATGGTAACTAAGTACACTAACCTATTATCTTCTCAGTCCTGAAGGAAAAAAAATTGGGCTTTTGTCACTTTGCGGCCACACCTGGGGTGCTCAGGGCTAACTCTTGGCTTTGCACTCAGGAATCAATCCTGACAGTACATAGGGATGCCAGGGATTGATCCTGGGTTGTCTATAAGCAAAACAAGTGCCTTATCTGCTGTGCTAGCTCTTTTAAAGTTTTGTTTTAGGCCAGTCCTGTCCATGCTCAGGTCTTACTCCTGGCTCAGTGCGTAGGGATCTCTATGGGAATTGGTCTCCTAACAAAAAACCCCAAAGATGGGATATGCCCCGAGGTTAGATAGTTTAGGAATTAGAATGCAAAGGGTTTGCAAAAATATAACCAGAATAGAATAATATAGCAGAAAAAAATAGAACAGATGACAAATAGATGCCCGCTGCAAAAAATACACCCGGCAAGCATAGAATAAGACTATTTAGGGTCTTTTAGATGTAGGGATTGTTGGGTTGGCCCAGGGGGCTCAGGATAGAGGGGCCCTTGAATCATTGGTGAGCATCTTCAAATGCGGCTCATAATTCCTGGGATTTACATGAAGATACCCCTCCTCCACCCCTGACATCTGATAGGCCCTGGAGCCAGCTAACCCTTATTAGAAATAAGCAGGACCTGGAACCTAGCTAACCATGTATTCCTTCCCCACCCCAGATCTTTTTTCCATCCCTATAAATCCACCTTAAAATGCAGGTTGGGTGCTACTTCACGGGTCTCTTCAGAGACCTGTGAACCTTGCCCGGGAGTGCTTCAATAAACATGATTCAGCATGATTCTCATAGTTTCTTCCATGAGCCCATTCCTGGGCCTTTCAGGGACAACATGGGAAAAAACCAGAACAGGAAACTATTAAGACTTCATGTTTGAAGGTGCCTTCTGATCATTATGTAAAATACCCTGACCTCTTACCTTCTTTTACCTATTTAATATTGATATGCATACTAACTGTCTTTAATAATTCAACAAATGTTCACTTGGGAACCTGGTGGGGCTGGGAGAGCAATATTGTACTGAATAAATGGCCAGCCTGTGAGGTCACTGAAGGCTGCCTAGGTGATGGAAGGCTTGAACAGGTTTGCTTGTCTCATTATCTGTGACTGACCTCTGCTGGTCGAAGGTGCCAATTCAACTGGCTTTAGACATCACTTCTGGAGGAGTTCGGGGGACCTTATGAGATGCTGGGGATCAATGGGGTTGACTGTGTCCTGGACAAGAGCCCTACCCGCCATACTATCACTCCAGCCTCCTGTAGTCAAATTCTTATGGTCTTTTACCCAGCTGTCTTCAAGTCTTGAACACTCACATTCTTAGCATAAAGAGAATAATCATCTGCCCGGACACATGTATAATCCTTTTCTTTGAAATACAATCCTTCTCTTCGGGTTCCCAAAGGGTTCCTGGCGAAGTCATTCACCAGCTTTAGGATATCACAGGGCATCAGCTGCGGAAGTGAAATAGATAAAAAATTGGCAAACTATGGAAGGTTGGACAAATCAGTCTGCTGCTCTTGGTGGTCTGAAAATTAAGGTGCATGGTGGTGTGTGTGTGTGTGTGTTTTGGGGACACACCTGGTGGTGCTCAGAGATTGATTACTCCTGGTTCTGGGATCACTTCTGGTTGGGTTCAGGGGACAAGTGGTTAGGAAATTGTTATCTCTTTGGTCTCACATTTATATTATTGTTTGAGTGGAAAACAAGTTCAAAGTATTATTTTGGTATGTGAAAACGATAGAAAATTCAAATTTGTGTACTTTAAAAAGTTCATTATAGTTGAAGCAGTATTTGCAATAGTGATGGCATTTGTGGTCTTGGTATGTATAGTTACTTCACCTTCCCACCATCAAACGCCGAGACCCTCATGCCCTGTGTCTCACCCTGCCCACCTCCTCTAATGTGGAGCTCTTGGTTTGTGTTCAGTACTCAGTCAGCTGTAAGTTGTTTGGTTGCCCTGGACACCTAGAGCTTTATTGGAATATTGCCAGACCGTTCTTTTATGTGTTGTCTAAGACTGCTTTCCCATCACAATGGCTGAATGGAGAAGCTGGAGAGCGTATGACCCAGAGACCTACAATTTTTACAGAAAAAATTGTGTTTAAAACTCATACGCTCAGGGGCTAGAGTGATAATTACACTTAAAAAAATGTAACTGGCTTGGGACCAGAGAGATAATACTATGGGTAGGGCTATTGCCTTGCACACGACCGACCTGTGATTTCATATGGCATCCTATATGGTACCCTGAGTTCTGCCAGGAAGTGACAAAGCCAAGAGTAACCCTTGAGCATCAGTGGGTGTGGCCTTAAAAACAAACTCATATGTCCTTGGGGATGGGAGACATTACAGTGAGTAGGGTGCTTGCTTTGTATCTGGTAGACCCTGGTTTGATACCTGACATCCCATATGGTCTCCTCTAGCACTGCCAGGAGTGATGAGTACAGTGCTCAGAGCAACCTGTGAGCACCATTGGGTATGCCCCCCAACCAAACCAAACCAAACCAAAAAACTGCAAGCCCTTCGTATGCCCAGACTTATTTTTTCTTACATTAAACCCCGGTGATGAGACACATAAGGATTGGTCCTGGAGCCTGATGAGAGCTGCACTGTCCACATGCCTCGTTCCTAGGAGGGAATCTAACAGCAAATTCTGCAAATGGCTCATGCTCCCTCAGTTCTGAAAAAGGAACTGCAGTCCAAGAGATCTACTTCGAAGGCTTACAGAGGACTGAGAACAGAAACGTCCCTGAGACACTCTAGACAGTTTGACCATCAACAGTATCCTTTGCAAGATGGAGAGGGAAATCAGAGGTCCATTACCTGGTGCACTACTCAGAGATGAATACAATTAGAAAACCTGAAGCTGACCCAAAGCAGACTATGAAGTAAATCCGGAAAACTACAACCTCCAATTTTCTCTTTTCCCTGAGGGGGCGGAGTCACACACACCCAGAGGCTAGTCCAGCTCAGTACCGAGGATGGAAAAACCACTCCTCAGACATGCTGGTGCCGGTACTGGGGCTGGCACCCAGTCCCCCTGCACGCGAAGGATGTGCTCAAGCCTTTGAGCACAATCTCTAGCCCACAATCTCATAAAAACAAAACCCAGAAACAACAAATACTATAATCCGTGGTGTGCATCAGAATCACCTGGGATTAAACAATACCCAAAATCCTTCTGGGATGGGAAAACCCCACGAAATAAAGAAACCTGGACCGGAGCTGAGTTCGCTCATAACTTTCTGGCTGCCGTTAGGACACACTAGTCCAAGAACAGGGCGGCCATTGAGAAGTTGAGCGATTTAGTTCCAGGGTACTAAGAAGGCACCGAATACATTCCTTCAAGGGTACAGAAGAAAGACACCCCTTCCCGTCACTCGCTAAGAGGGATCATAGGGGCATTCCCTGGAGTGACACTGAAGGCGACAGCTCGGCCCGCTGGTCAGTCCCGTTGGCTGGGGGGACGCGCAGAAGTCGCGGAAGGCAAGGAGGACGTGAGGAAGCAGCGCATCCCTGAGGCGAGCCAGCCAGCCAGCACGCGTGTCAGCCAGCCTAACCGTTGCTCAGCTGAGGGCTCCGCGCTCTGAGGAGCCGCCCAACGACCGATTCCGCCTGGAAAGGCGGAGCGAGACAGCAACGTGCCCGCTGATTGGCTGCGACGGCTATCCATCACGGGGAGGCGGGGCTGCGGCTCAACGGCCGACCAATCCGCGCCGGGCACTTGGGTCTCACTCCGCCCTAGGGGGGGCCGCGGGAGCGCGGCTGTGCGCGACTCCGAGACGGCAGGAGGCGCGCGGCCTCGCGAGGCTCCGCGTTCCCGGGGCGCCGCGTCCGCAGTCGCTGGGCGCGAACGTTCGCACGTTCCCAGGCGACGGGGCGCACTTGGCGCGCCGGGACCGACGACGACCCCGGGGCCGTGAGCGAGCGGGCCGGGCCCCGGCGCACCGCCGGCCGTGGGAGGGGAGCAGCCGAGGTGCCAGTCGCGCGCCGCGCGTCCCTCCTCAGCGCCGGGCCGGGCCCGGGTCGCGCGCAGCCGAGTCGCTGACTGACGGACTGGGGGTGGGCACGGACGGCGCCGGGGGGCGCTGTGGGTCGGCGGGCGCCGGCCGGGGAGGAGGAGGCCGGGCTGGCCGCTCGGAGCTTGGCGACGAGCGCCCCGAAAGCCCCTCTCCTCCTTCCCGGGGGTCGCCCTGTGTGTAGCCCGAGAGTTGGAGCTCGCCCTTCGCCGCCCGTGGTTGAGAAAACGGCATTGGCGACCCCTAGAGGCCAGGCGGGCGCCTGCGGGCAATTCCGGGCACACCCGGGACAGCCACGGATTCGGACCGCTCCCCGCTTCAAGGGCACTAGATTCTGGGCTGAAGCAGGAGCCCGCGGTGCGGGGCATGATGTGGGGAGCGTGGATGGTCCATCGCTGTCTTCATGCTCACGAAGATGGATCAATAGTGATTTGTTTAGGGCTTGGGGGCCACACCCGGCTATGCGCAGCACTCAAAAAAAAAATCACTCCTGGTGGTGCTGGCGGGGCGAGGGTACCCCAGGAGATGCTCAGGATGAAACCCGAGCAAGGCAAAACGCCCCACTCGGCCCCACGCTGGATTATTTGAACGAGAGAAAAACAAGATGCTCGTGAATTGTTGCTAAATAAGTGATTTTCCTCCCCCCTCTAAATAGACTTGGCTAGGAGCTCTGTTATTACCGCAATGAAAAATTTAGACACGGTAACTAACAAACCTCGGAAGTTCAAGAGCTCAAAAGAATGTTTGGCCCCGCAGCCAGTGTCTTGGATAGAGGTATAATATTGGGCATTTTGAAGTTTCTACTCCGTTGCATTGAGAAGTGGCCTGTGCATAATACATGCTCCGTTACTCGGCTTTTGAGTTCTTCGCGTTACTAGCCTTGCATTTGCTTTTAATTTCTAGCTTGAGGCGGAATCGTAGAACCCTCTTTATTCCTCCACCCTGTTTTGCGGGGGCTGAGTGGGATAGGGTTAGCTGGGTGGGCTTCTAGACAATGTCTAGGAGTCAGGGAGTGATGCCGGGGTACTGTAGTGTGCTTCTGGGAGCCGCAAGGGCCTCCTTGTTGGAGGCAGGGGTGAGCTCAACCCCTTTGAACTGTTTCCCCAGAAGTGGGTTGGGTATTTGGGGTTTTTTTTTGTTTGTTTTTTGTTTTGTTTCTGAGTGCCCAACAGCGCTCAAGGGTTACTCCTGGCTCTGCACTCAGAAATCACTCCTGGCAGGCCCTGGGGACCATATGGATGCCCGGGATAGAACCCAGATTGATCTTGTGCAAGGCAAGCATCCTGTTGGCTGTGTTATCTCTCCAGCCTCCTAATTGTACTTTTCTAATGTAACAAAGTTCTAAGCTTTTTCTTGAAGTGTTGCCACAGCTGCTTTACCCCCAAATTACATTGGCTGTGATTTTTTATTGTATTTTTTCTAAGTAGTTTTAGGAAGATCTCTCATTGATGTGCAATAAAATGCCTGTGTTTAAAATGTACAGCTTTATCTGTCGTGACTTGTATAACACATGAAATTTATCACCAGTCAAGAGAATGAACACAGTTCACTACTCCAATTTCTTCTGTGTCCCTTTATAAATTGTGTCCAGTTGTTTCCAAGATAGTTGGGTTATTTCTACCAGCAGTGTATGAGAATAGCCGGTCTTGACATTTGGTGTGATTTTTTTAGTGTATGTGTAGTCTTTTAATTTGAGGCATTCTGACAGATGCATAGTGGCATCTTTTATTAGTTAAAAATTGTAAAGGCCTGCGTTGCTTAGGACGTGTGCAGGATGGGAATGAGTTAGAGCCTTGAACATTCTAGACATATGCTCTACCATTTGAGCTATATCTGTCTTGTCACAGTGAATAGAGACTTTTTTTGCCCTGAACATTTTTGTTTGTTTTTGAGCCACATGTGGCTGTGCTCAGGACTTACTCTTGGCTCTGCTCAGGGAACACAGTTGGTGGGGCTCAGGAGACCATCTGGGGTGCTGGAGAATAGAACTGAGGTGGGCCTCAGGAGAATAGAACCGAGGACTCAAATCTGGGTCTTACACATGCATAGCATTCACTCTGTGGCTGAACTGAATCCCTTGCATCCTGTGCTTCTAATTTGCAGTTCTGTAATGATTGATGTTGAACATCATTTCGTGTCTTACTTGCCATTTAATAAATCTTACTAGGTGAAGGGTTTGTTTAGATATTCTTCCCATATTTTAGTTGAGTCATTTGTAATTTTATTGTCAAGCTTTTATTACTGAGATAGAATTTATGCAGCAAAAAAGATACTTTTTTTTCTCACACCCTTAAGCAGTCTCTTCCCATTTCCTGCCCCCCCCCCCCCCCTAACCTTTCCCACTGACAGCCTCTCTTCTACTTCAGATTTGTCTCTTCTGGACATTTATACAAATGTTTTGTATAGTAGGTGTCCCTGTGTGATCCACTTCTTTATATATACTTGGTTTAGGGGCCATGCCCAGCAGTGCTCAGGGCTTACTCTTGGCTCTGATAAGGGATCATCACCCCTGGCAATGCTGAGAGGACTATACAGGAAGTATAGACAGAACCCACTGTACTGTCTGCTGGTCCTCTCTTGTCTTTTTTTTCCAAATGTCGACTTCTTTCTAGTTTTTTCCTGCTTTTGGTTACTCTCCAATATCTTTGAATTGTTGATGTTTATAATTTTTTTTCTAGAATATTAATTACTCGTCTTGTTTGAGAACAATAGATTTGCAAGGAATAGCAACTCCTTGAGGCTGAAAAAACAAAAGAAATTCAAAAATTCATATTTGAATTTAAATTCTGGCTCGTCTCAGTATTTTTCCAGGCTTTCAGCCACTGCTTAATTATGATGGGCATATACTTCAATTAAGCTCCTTTAATTTTTCTGTGGAAGAATAGGTTTTAGATCTTGAGAGATTTTACACATTTGTTTTGAGAGAGAGTCTTAGAACTGAAGAATACCACTTCCACTGACAATTTAAGACAATTTGAATTTTGTGTGAATTTGAGAGTATGTCTATGATGGAAGTCAACCTACTGTATTTACTGGCAGATATTTAACTGTGAAAGATTTGTTATGAAAATGGAAGAAAAATTAATGCCATTGTAAACTGTCCTCTGAAGCTTGTGTTGCTTTACTTTTTTTTAATTTTTATTTTTTGCTTTTAGGATCACACCTGGCTTTGCATAGGGGTTACTCCTGGCTCATGCACTCAGGAATTACTCATGGTGGTGCTCAGGGTACCATATAGGATACTGGGAATCAACCTGGGTGGGCCACGTACAAGGCAAACACCCTACCCGCTGTGCTATTGCTCCAGCCCGATTGTGTTGCTTTAAAGTAAAAAAGTGAGACATATATGAAATGTGTATTATTAACATTTTATAATTATGATGACTGAATAAATTAAAATAGAGTTTATCAGTTTGAGTTCAGTCAAATGAATTCAAACAAAGAACTATTTTATCTATGGAATACCTTGAAAAGTCTGGAGTATATGCCTGGCATGAGAAGGCCCCTAGGTCAATTATCAACACCTCATGGGCCATTGAGCACTGCCTGAGCGACCCTGGTAGTCTCCAGCACTTCAAGGCCTCAGCATCCCTTGGCTGAGTATGACCAAGAATTGTCTCTGGGTACTTCAGTCACTCTTGGGTGCCCTCTTCCCCCAAATCGAGGAGAAAAAAAACTGATTTTAACCCATAGTGGAATGTGAAAAAAAATTGGTAGGAAGGTTAAAAGTTGGGGTACTGGAGATATAGTATGGGGTTAAGACACTTTCCTTACATATGACCATACTAGGTTCAATCCCCAGCACCACATGTGAATGGTGCTGGGGATTGAACCTAGTATGGTCATATGTAAGGAAAGTGGTCAGGTCCTGGTCAGGAGTGTCCCTGAATACAGAGCCAGGTATAAACCCTGAGCACAACTGGGTGTGGCCCTTAAACCAACGAGCCAACAAAAGTTGGGCACATGGTTCAGCTTAGAGCATGTGCCCTGCATGTATATGTCCCTAGCTTTGATTTCTGTCACCACACACACAACATACATACTTACATACACTACTACTTATAAGTCATTTGTCCTTGCTGGTGCTCAAATGCCTGTACTCTGTGTTTTTGTCCAAGAACTAACTGTGCAGACTGTAGAAAGATTCACATAGTCTTTAGGAATATGGCTCAGAGGAGGAGCTTCTTCCTACCTTGAAAATCTGGGATGTGTCCAGGTAGCACTAAAAATTCAATTCCTCCCTCCCTCTCTCTGCACCCAGCAGTCCCCAGCGACCATTCCTGACTCTGCTCAGGGAAGTCACCCTTGGTGGTGCTCAGGGGACCATATGCAGTGCCAGGGATCAACTACAAGCAAGGAAATGCCTTAGTCCTGTTTATCCCTCTGACTCTAAAATTCAATTCATTTAGGGTTTGGTTTTCACATTTTCTGTCATTTTAGGCATTAGCTAAAGAAGATATTGACGAAGCTATTCAATCAATATTATATAGAGAAAATTATACCATTAAGGTAAGAGTTGGCTGTAAATGGTCTCAAAAATTAATTTTTTTATCTTAGGAGTTATCATTATAAAATTGTTAGAGAACACAGGCAGTAGAATTAAAACACCCCTAGAACTAACTTTTTTTAAAAAATTATTTATTTATTGAATCACTGTGGGAAAAGTTACAAAGCTTTCAGGTTTAGGTCTCGGTCATGCAAATATCAAACACATTTCCCTTTACCAATACTTATTTTTCACCATGAAGAACCCCAATAAACCCCACCCCTCACCCCTCCCAATGCCTGTGAGGCAGATGAATTCTAGTTAACATTCTATCTACTTTGACTAGATTCATTGTTTCGATAAAAGATGCACCATTATTATTTAGAGTTTACCCCCCAAATCAGACCTGCTGAAAAAGCATTGTGACATGATTTGCTTTCTACAGCTGGGTTCAAGAATTAAATGATGTCACGGCCACGTGGTTTTGGATTTCTGCTATTTTACTTATTAACCCTGGAAGTATTTCTACTGAGAGTCAGATAATTAAGAGATTGGTTTCTGTGCTCTGGAGCCGTGACCGTGCCGGAGAGCTGCTCGTGGGGGGCAACTGGTGACCTCGATAGGGCGTGAAGGAAGAGCTGGGAATGCCCCCATTCCCTTGAGGTTTTAGTTGCCCCATCACCACCGGCTCATACCTAGCTCTCCACAAGGCTCCCATGCGGCTGCCATCTTTCTTTCCAGAGGGGAGAAGCAGAACTAACTTTAAGTGATAGAGAGGTTGACTTCTTTTTTCCTCTGCTTTGTGGAGATCCCTTCACGAGACACTTTATTAATTTACCTCTACTCATTTGATCCTTTATTGTTGCGGGACTTAATTAGAGCTGCCGTGTTGTCTGTTTCCTTCCCTTCCCCTTTTGTTCCTGTTTCTGCAGTGATAGCATTATATGCCCAAGTGGTTGCGGTGCTCACACATTTTATTCACTTCGTTTTCTTTTCTTTGTTGTTTTTGGGACCACATCCAGCAGTGCTCAGGGTTTACTAATAGTAATAGTACAGCTCGACTATTACTCCAGCCCAGTTGCTATGTAGTCTTTTAAGAGCTATTATTATAATATTTTGAGCAATTAGTACTCAGATATATGTATATAGGTAAGAACAAGACTTTACCTATAGCAGATGGACTTTACTATAAGACAAGATGGATCTGACTTATGTTACCATAAAAATGGTCCAGCTTCAAGACTGATCTCAGAGAAATGCTGGCAGCTGAACTGTCCTAGCTCCATAGCTCCAGGATGTGGTCATGTGATACCGTAAAACTTCGAAGTGGTGATAGCCCAATACAAGTACAAAAACAGATGGGGAAGTAGCATAGAAACCCAGTAAGTTCACTGAGTGAAAACGATAACACAGAAGACTCAACTAGCACCTAATAGCTCAGTATATCTTTAGTGACTTTAATATGACTATAATGAGATACATGCTGTGACCAGCAGTATAAAGTAAATTATTTGGTGCCTGATAAGGGGGCAGGCTTGGGGTGGGGTGGGTGAGAAACTGGGAACATTTGTGGTGGGACTGGTGTTGGAACATTGAATACTTGTAACAACTATAATGAACAATTTTGTAAATCACAATGTTTAAATAAAGCTTAATACATAAAAATATAGAATGGATTGGGACCTGAGAAATAATAGTACAGCAGGTAAGGTACTTGCTTTGCATAATCTCCACCACATATAGCCCCCTGAGACCACATATAACCCACGAGGAGAGAGCACTGAGCACAGCCAGGGATAAACTCTGAACACCATAGTCATAGCTATAAAAAAAAAAAGAAAAAAATATGTGCACATGATTTTTCCTTTTCATTTCCTCTTTTGTTGCTTTGATGGCAAAGTTGCTCATACTTGATTTGGTGCTGACATACATAGTTGTGGTGCTTACACTCACACACTTGGTTGCTATGCATCAGAACACTCAGTTTGTCACAGTGCTTGGAGGTCCAAGTGGAAATGCTGACAGAATCTTGCTTGGTGCTTGTGGGAGGTGCTAGGGAGCGAACATGGGGCTTCACATAGCAGGTGCTTTTGCTATGAACTCTCACCTAGGATCCCCTAATTGGGACTTTGGGTTTTGAGTTGTTTGAGCCACAGTTGGAGTGCTCCAGAGCTATTTCTGGCTTTGTGCTCCAGGACTGACCTCTGCGGTGCTGGGGGAATCATATTCAGTGCCTGGGATCAGAACAGGGTTGACTGCATGCAAGGCATGAACCTTATATTCAGTACTCCTTTACTATTTTTCTGGGGGCCATATGTGGTCAGGATTGAGCTGGGGTCAGCTGTGTACAAGGCAAGTGCCTTAAACTGAGCTCATTTAAAACTTTTCTTTAAGAGCTGTTGATAGGGGCTGGAGTGATAGCACAGCAGGTAGAGTGTTTTCCTCGTATGTGGCCAACCCGGGTTCGATCCCCAGCATCCCATATGGTCCTCTGTACACTGACAGGAGTAATTCCTGAGTACAGAGCCAGGAGTAACCCCTATGCATTGCCAGGTGTGACCCAAAAAGCAACAACAACAACAACAACAAACCAGAAAAAACAAAAGTTGTAAAAAGAGCTGGTTATAAGGGAAATTTACTATTCTTGGGCAGGTTGAAGTATGCTATGATGATGTGAGATTAGGGAAGAACATAGCCTAGAATTGTGCTCAGGGCTTACTCCTGATTTTCCACTCAAGGATCACTTCTGGTGTGCTTGGAAGACCATTTGAGATGTTGGGTTTTGAACATGGTTGACTGCATGCAAGGCAAATGCTTTACCTGCTGTCCTTTCTCTCTGGCCCTGAGCCTAGCTTTGTAAACTGTAGCTTGTAACCTTGTAGGAGTCACGTATCTGAATGTGCAGGTCATAAAAATCTTTAAAATGATAATAAATTTATTTTAATAAATTATGATAATAAAACGTAATGATTTATGATCATTAAATGTTTGAATTATATGCCTATTTTCCATATTTGAGTTATTTGTATATTTTTCATATTTTACATACGTGGAGTTACATAAAAATTTCTTGGGTGAAGGCCATCATGTCTGCCCGGAGGGGAAAGGGTGTTGGTCCCTTCCGCCCTCCTCCCTCTGGAAAGAAAGGTGGCGGCCACATGGGAGCCTTGTGGACAGCAGGTATGAGCCGGGGGTGTGGGGGCGACTAAAACCTCATGGGAAGGGGGGCGTTCCGGTCCGTCCTTCACGCCCTACCGAGGTCACCAGTTGCCCCCCGCGAGCGGCTCTCCAGCACGGCCACAGCCCCAGAAGCACAGGGACTTAATGCAGAACCCGGCAGCTTGGAGCAGAAAAGTGAAAGGACTATGCGTTAATCCAGGCCATCATGTCTGTCCGGAGGGGAAAGGGTGTTGCCCCAGTCGCCTTCTCCTCTCTGGAAAGAAAGATGGCGGCCGCATGGGAGCCTTGTGGACAGCAGGTATGAGCCGGGGGAGTGGGGGGGCGACTAAAACCTCATGGGAAGGGGGGCGTTTCGGTCCGCCCTTCACGCCCTACCGAGGCCACCAGTTGCCCCCCACTAGCGGCTCTCCAGCACGGCCACGACTCCAGAGCACAGAAACCAATTTCTTAACTATCTGACTTTCAGTATAAATACTTCCAGGGTCAATAAGTAAAATAGCAGAAATCCAAAACCAACATTTAATTCTTGAACCCAGCTGTAGAAAGCAAATCACGTCACAATGCTTTTTCAGCATGTCTGATTTGGGGGGGGGGGGGTAAACTCTAAATTATAGTGGTGAATCTTTTATTGAAACAATGAATCTAATCAAAGCAGATAGAGTGTTAACTAGAATTCATCTGCCCCACAGGGACTGGGAGGGGTGGGGGGTGGGGTTTTATTGGGGTTCTTCATGGTAAAAAAAAAAGTATTGGTAAAGGGAAATGTGTTTGATATTTGCATGACTGAGACCTAAACCTGAAAGCTTTGTAACCTTTCCCAGGGTGATTCAATAAATAAAAAAAAATTAAAAAAAAAATTTCTTGGGTGAAAAGGGGTTGCTAGTGAAAAATTTAAGAATAACTTTTAAACTTGGTCCTAGAGAACCTCATTAGTTATTGTTTTATTTTGAGTTTTATGTTGTTGATCCTAATTCAGTGATTATATGGGTTCATTTGCTATATGAAAGGTGGACGAGAAGTTTTGGTGAAGATTAGTTTATAGCCTAACCCAAGTATTTTCTTTTCGGGCTACTTATCATTTGGATTAGCTTTTACTACATTTTCTTTCTCTTTATTCTTGGTTCCTTTTCCCTTCCCATACAGTATTTTCCCTATTCATTCTATGTCATTTCTTCTTTTCTTTTTCTAGGTAACTTCTCATTCTTTTTGTTTTGTTCACTTTTTGTTCTTTTATGGGGGCCACGCCCAATGGTGCTTGGGATCACTTCCAGTGGTGCCGGGGACTCTGTGGTGCTAGGGATCGTACCAGGTGCTCTTGCATGCATGTGTCTTAGATCTTTGAGCTGTCTCTTTAATTCTTTTTCCCTCCCAGTTCTGGTGATTGAACTCAGGGCCTCACATATGCAAGGAAAATGCTCCACACAAAATAAATAAATAAATACATAAATAAAGACAGAAAGAAATTAAAAAAAATGCTCCACCAATGAACTACATCCACAGTTCATGACTTCTCATTCTTCAAGACTAATCTCAAAATATCTCTGATATAGGGAGTCTTATAATTTTTCCCATTGTGGTCAAATATTTATACATATAGATAGATATTTTTAACTATTTAAAAGTACATATTTCGGTGATATTAATTACATTGACATGTTGTGCAACTATCACTTTCATTACCCTAAACCAAAACTTTGTACTTATTAAAGCAATAACCTCCCATTCATTTCCTCCTAAGTTTTTTTTTTTTATAAGATTTCGTTTACTTCCTGCCTCTGTGAATCTTCCTATTTAAAACAATCAGATGTGGTATTCTTGCCAGTGGTATCTCCTGGCAGGAGCCAGCTCAGTGGTGTTGGCCTGACTGGAGTTTGGACTTGGCGATATAGTACTGCTTGGGTCTGGTGGTGCAGAGGGTCACCAGGGCCCCTTGGTTTATCTTTTGAAACATACGTGGGCTGCTTCCATCTTTTGTCTGTTGTGAATAATGATGTACAAGTTTTATTTGAGTCTCTGGTTTTAACATTTGGGAGTATATTTACCTAGAGATTCAGTTGTTGGCTCTTAAGATACTTCTTTTTACCTTTTTGAAGAACCATCAAACTGAGAATCTTTTAAGCTCCACAAAATAGCTTTTCTTTCTTCTATGTGTTAAGTTAATATCTATCTATTTCAGCTGGTGTGTGTGTGTGTGTGTGTGTGTGTTTGTGTGTGTGACTGTCATCCCTCCACCCATTGTTTAATGAATTTGTAGTCTGTTTTCTTAGGAGAACAGACCTGTTATCTCATTCATTTGTGTACTCAATGTTTCCACTGTAGCCCGTGTCACACAAAAATCAAATAAATGATTGAATTGATGAATGATTGTGGGTTATTTCTAGGAAAAAAACAAGAACAAGAGCTTAAGATAATATATTTGTTTTAATTATTTTAAATTGATATTCTAAATTGATAAAATTTAAATTGATATATTTTAATTTAATAATCATTTTCTAGGAACTAGATAAATTCTTACAACATCATGCTTTTTTAAATGAAAGGAAAAAAGAGCTGTTACACAAAAGATGGGTTGATCATGTGGCAATTCCTCTTCAAAAGAAAATCATGGAAAAAGTTTCTTCACATAAGAAGATTATAAAAAGGAGACAAGAGGAATTAGAAAACTTTTTAAAATATGTAAATAAAAAGGTACTAAGAGATCACTTGGCTTTTTTTAAGTCAGCTTTAGCTAAGGTTATCTTTATTTATAATTATTCAAATAGTCTGTTCTTTCCTCTTTCCCTTAATATATGTAAAAAATCCATGTTTTATTATAGCAAATAATACTATTAAATACATTACATATAGAAAGGATGGAGAAAGAGGGTTAGGTTCGGATTTAAAATATGTAAATAGAACTATTTTCTTCTTTCACTCTTGTATAATTCAATACATCAATTAAAATTTGGCTCTACGCTCAGAATATATATATATATATAAATCCATATATATTTATGTGTGTATTCGAGATCTATGACTCAATTATTTTGGTTATTATTATTTTGGTTTTAGGGCCATACCCTGTTCAGGGCTTACTCCTGGCTCTGTGCTCAGGGATCAGTCCTGGTCATGTTCAGGAGACCAAAATTTGGTGCCAGGGATCAAACCTAGGTCAGCTGCATACAAGGCAAGTGCCTTAACTGATCTTTCTGGCCTATGGTTGTATTATTATTATTATTATTATTATTTTATTATTTTTGCTTTTTGGGTCACACCCAGAAATGCACAGGGGTTATTCCTGGCTCATGCACTCAGGAATTACTCCTGGCGGTGCTCGGGGGACCATATGGGATGCTGTCGAACCCGGGTCAGTTGCGTGCAAGGCAAACACCCTACCCGCTGTGCTATCGCTCCAGCCCCGGTTGTATTATTTTTTGGGGGGAGGGGGGTCACACCCAGCGATGCTCAGGGATTACCCCTGGCTCTGCACTAAGGAATTACACCTGGCGGTGCTATGCTCTGGGAACCATATGGGATGCTGGGATGAATTCTGAGCTGGGTGTAAGGCAAAAGTCGCCCTTCACCCCATCAACCCCCCTTTGTTGTATTCTTATGCTTCAGTTGCAAATGCAAATGGGAAGGGAAGACCAAATTAGAATTAAATTTAGTTTATTCAAGAAACAAATGTTAAAGTGATAGAATCCACTTAAAGTATGCAAAGTTTTCATGAAGACTGTTGGAATACTGACACATTTGGTCATTTAGGAAACAAAAATGTTGCTAGGGAGCTGAAAAGATAGTAGTAAGTCGCTTGCCTTGCACGCAGCTGACCCAGATTTCAGTGTTCCTCAGATCCCACCCAACTGCAACTGGAGGCCAGTTACACTAAGGGATTTACTGTGAACCTCCTCTGTGTAGTTTTATTCCCACTAAAATTATTTAACAATATTTTAACAAATACAATCAGAAAATGGAAAACAAATAAGACCTCTTAACTTTGAAAGTAGGACTTTAGCCAATTATCTCTGCAAATAATATGCCTGGATAATGTCACACTGGAGACAGTGAACAAATTTCCCTATAATCAGGCAGAGACTAGGTAAGCTCACAGGATGAAAGCAACTTCTTCCTGTATAGAGGCATCTGGGAAGTCATGATGGAAAGCCATCCTCTGTGTGCTTTTGTTTCCTTCCAATAGGGAGTCGCGTTTAGGGAACATTATGATCCAAAGGAGTATGATCCTTTTTCTAGGAAGAAAGAGGACCCCTCATTTCTGAAGGTAGGATAATTTATTTTTATTTGGTATTGTTGCATTATTTTGAGTAGCATTAATAGTAACTTACTGATTCCCTAAGAATGCAATAGTGTGTATGTATATGGGGGGAGGGTGTTGGTGCTGGGGATAGAACCCAGGGATTCATTATTTGAGGCATGTGCTGTATCACAGCACCACATCCCCAGCCCCACGCAATAACATCTCATAAATAGTTAAGTATATTCATATCTTAGAAATAACAACAAAAAATCCAAAGGCCAGAGTAAAGCTGACTTCCATAAAATTTGAAAATACTAAATAATAACTGGACAATAGGTAATGTTTAAAGATTCTGCAAACTTTTAAATTTGTTACAAAAGTAATTCTATATCATCAAAGATAATTGAGAAAAAAATTACAATTACACATACATTTCTTAGTTTTGCTCAGATTTTATATACTATTGCCTTTCCTTCCTTCCTTCCTTCCTTCCTTCCTTCCTTCCTTCCTTCCTTCCTTCCTTCCGTCCTTCCTGATTTTTGGGTTGGTCCTATATATATATTTTCAAGCACTGTCTCTCAAAACAGAAGCAAATCCAGCCTAAAGAGAGAAGGTAAACCAGTTAAGATTACCTTAAAAGAGAGGGAAGTAGGGGCCCAGGAGTAGATCAAAAGTTAGTGTGTGCTTTGCACGATGGAGAGCCTCACCCTCTTGTGGACCAACAAGCTCCCAGACACCACCAGGTGTGACTCAACAGCAAAAACAAAAAAGGGGATGGGGTAGGATGGTAGGGTTTATTTATTTTTTAAATAAGAACATGTCGTTTGATCATGCAGCCTTGGTGCAGTCCTTATATAACCTCCTGTAACTGACATGCAGTTTTCCTGTAGCCTGTGTTTTCCTATGTTTATACACCAGCAACAGACAGTTTTGTCAAGTGGCAAATTTTTGTCATTGAAAATGGTACAATATTTGTTTACAGTCTAAAATGGAAATGGTGGCATTCAAGAACTGCAAAGTGGACAGCTTTTATTCCCTGAAGTGTTTCTTGGTACTTTTTAAGTACTTCAGATATGTGAAATAGAGAAAATCTTGTGAATTAATCTGCTGGTAAAAATATACTTTGGTTATTTGGACAGGAACAGTATTCAGACAGGTAGCGAGTGAAGAGCCGAGCCAGTGTATTGATGAGTACTGACGGCAGGTTCTTCAGGTGTTCAGGTCTGACCTTGTCTGGGCCGGGTGCTGTTTGCTTCTTTACTGACAAAATGGCGTGTCGGATTTCGGAAGGGAGAACGTTGGGAACGACATACCCATCCTGTGGAATTTGGTATGTCGGCAAGTGGACATGGCTATCGAAGAGATTTGAGTAGAAGTCATGGATAATCTTCTCCATTGCCGTTCTGGAGGATGTGATGGATCCATCAGGACGTCGGAGGGCAGTCATCTTGGTCTTATAGTTGGCGAAGGACAGGCGGGCCTTACGAATACTTTTCCCGGCTTCTGCCGCATCTACCAGTACTTCTGCTCTTCTCTCTTTGAGGTCTTCCTTGATCGCATCTCTGCACTGCTTTGCAAGCTCGGACGTTAGCTTGCGGTTGCCTGAGGCATGTGCCAAACCATGCTGGCGAATTAGCTCAAGAGTTTTCGAAGATAGGCGAATTTTTGTGGCTATCTCTCTCTTGGCATTCCTCGCACATTCATGGAGGTGCTGAACCAGTCGATCGTATTCCTCGTCAATGTTGTCAACAATGGCATCTTCCCATGTTGCCGCAATAGTACCGAAGAGTTCCCAGTTGGTGGTCGTTCTGGGAGTTCTCTTTTTGAACTTTGCAGCCCTTTCTCCCCGCTCTGTGAAGTAGAATTTTGCACGAAGGAGACGGTGGTCCGATCCCGTTCGAAATTTTGGGACAACAGCGACATCAGTCAGGCAAAACCGTCGATTGAATATGATGTGGTCTATTTCGTTGTGGAATCGTCCACCGGGAGACTCCCATGTCCATCGTTTAGATTCTGCCTTCTGGAACTGTGAGTTACCATGAATGGTCTTGGTCGACATGATGAACTCAGACAGTCTCTCACCCTGTTCGTTCCATTCTAGGCCATGGGTTCCGATGTGAAGTTCTTCAGCTGATCTTCTCGGTCCTATCTTGGCATTAAAATCACCCACAATGATCTTGTAGAAGGTGTGGTCTTCTTTATAGAACTTCTCTAGCTCCATGTAGAACTTCTCGATTTCTCTTTCATCATAATGAGTTGTTGGTGCGTAGACAACGAAGATAGAAACTGCAGGCAGTGAGCCACATCTATTCAAATGTAAACGTCTGATTCGGGTTGTTAGGCATTCAAATGAATCAATGCTCTTGGCCAAGTTTGTGTTGACAAGGACACCGACGCCTCCAACACCTCTTTTATCGCATGTTCTGAGGAACAATTCTTCTCCAGTGTCGAAAACGGCATGGTGAGATTCGTGTCTTCTTGTCTCGGTCAGACCAATGATGTCGTACTTGATCATTCGCGCTTGTACCATCAGGTCCTCGATGGATGCATCTGATGCTAGCGTACGTGCATTGAAAGTACAGACGATCATTTTTGTCTTCCTTCGTTGTGGCAGCCTAGGTCGGCCTTGAGATTTTGTCGGCCTCTCCTTTCTCATCCTTCTCAGTGCTTCCATGTCGGTGAAGCCTTCAGGGTCAGGTGAATGAGACCAGTTGTAGTTACTGGTCAAGAAGGGAGACATCCATGACATTGGCAACTATCGCCCGATCTGCCTATTGTCTGTCATCTACAAGTTGTTCACTCGAGTCATCCTGAATAGGATTGGCAGAACACTAGATGAAGGACAACCATGTGAGCAAGCAGGGTTCCGCAAAGGATTCAGCACCATCGACCATATCCACAGGATAACCAAATTCATTGAGGTTTCTCGGGAGTTCAAGATGCCGCTCTGCTTAACGTTCATTGATTTAAAGAAGGCCTTTGATTCTGTTGAGACGGAAGCGGTCATTGAAGCCCTAGCCAATCAGGGCATTCAAGCCCAATACATCAGGATCCTCCGTGAGCTGTATTGCGGATTCACTACCAGGATCTCACCATTCTACAAAGAAGTGATCGTTGATGTCAAGAGAGGGGTGCGGCAGGGTGATACCATTTCACCAAAACTCTTCAGTGCCACCCTCGAGAACATCATGCGACGACTGGAATGGGAAGGAATGGGAGTGAAGATAGATGGTCGGCAACTACACCACCTCCGCTTTGCTGATGACATTGTTTTAATAACACCAAACATCAGCCAAGCGGCACAAATGCTGGCCGACTTTGACCGTGAGTGTGGAAAGGTAGGACTACAGCTGAATCTTACGAAGACAATGTTTATGAGAAACAGCCTTGTTCCTGACGCCCCATTCGCTCTCAATGGAACGACCATCTCCGAATGCAACAGCTATGTGTACCTAGGTCGAGAGGTCAACATGACAAATGACCTGGCACCCGAGCTGCGCAGGAGGAAGAGAGCGGCTTGGAACGCCTTCAAGAACGTCGAAGAAATAGCTAAGAGGACGAAGAACCTCCGGCTCCAGGCACATCTCTTTGATTCCACTGTTCTTCCTGCATTAACATATGCCTCAGAGACCTGGGCCCTACGCAAACAAGATGAGAACGCCATTCAGGTCTCCCAAAGAAGAATAGAAAGAGCTATGCTTGGAATATCACATTTCACTCAAATGAGAGAACGAATCCGGAGTTCTGACATCCGTCGACGATCAAGGATCAGGGACGCTGTCTCATATGCCAAGGTGTCGAAAATCAGATGGGCTGGTCACGTAATGAGATTTAAAGACGACCGTTGGACTAGAGCTGTTACTGATTGGATTCCACGGGATGTCAAGAGACCGCGTGGCCGCCCACCTACCAGATGGTCGGACTTCTTTGTCAAGGTCATGAACGATCGGTTTGAGGCCCTCCATGTTCCCGGAGCGAAGAGATGCCATTGGGCTACACTAGCACGCGACAGGGACAAATGGAGACGTTACTGGCGCCCGCTCGAGCAAATCGACGACTAACGGGAAGTTAAGTGATTAAGTGATTTGGACAGGACCTGCTAGCAGTGCTTGGGAGGTCTGGGACCCTGCTGGGGATTCTTGGTCGGTTGAGCAGGCTGTCAGCTCAGCCCCAGGCAGGAAGATGTGGCCTTGTCAGGCCAAGGGATGCCTGGGCCACCCTGTGGATATTGGGGGCCTTCAGGGTCACACCCAGCAGGGTCTGAGGACCATGCGATGCTGTACTGGCTACTAGCACCTAGCTGATGATTTTATTTTTTTATCATTGTAGGAGTACTGCTATTTATTCAGCCACTGATTAGGCTGACTGAATGGGGCATGAAATCAACCTTTTTTAAAAAATTTTTTATAATTTTATTTATTGAATCACTGTGAGAGCAGCTACAAAGCTTTCGGGTTTAAGTCTTGGTCATACAATGAAACACCCATACCTTCACCATTGCCCATTCTCCATCACCAAAACCCCCAGTATACCCCTATCCCACATCCTCCCCCTACCTGTGGGGCAGATGATTTTCACAGTACTCTCTCTCTACTTTGATTACATTCAATATTTTGACACATGACCCACCATTATTATTTGGGATTTTACCCCAACACTCAGATATGCCAAAAAGGCAACGGTGGACAATTTGTTTTCTATTGCTGGTTATCAATAACATATGATGTTGCGCGGCTGCAGCAGTGACCACACGATTTTGGAATTCTGAAATTTTAACAAATCTGGAGGGATTTCTGCCAAAACCCGCTGGGTTTCGAGATTTGTTCCTGAGTCTCTGGAATCATGGCCGTTTAACAGTTTGATCAGGAGCCAGAGAGGCCGTTTGTGGGCGGCAACTCGGAGTCTCGTTGGGACAGGGAGGAAAGGGCTGGCTCCACCCCCATCCAGTAAAGGTCTCGTGTGTCTCGTTACTGTGGGCCCAAACCTGACTGTCCAGTGGCCTCTGGAGGATGGCGGCCACTGGGCCACCAGGGGGAACAGGCCGAGACACGAAACCTATTCCCACCTGGGGTGGCCTAGCGCCGGTAACCTACGGCAGGGACCAGACGCAGTTCTGCCAAAAGCCGCTGGATTTCGAGATTTGTTTCTGAGTCTCTGGGAATCATGGCCGTTAAGCTGCTTGATCAGGAGCCAGAGAGGCCGTTTGTGGGCGGTGACTCGGTTCCACACCCATTTCATAAGGCCCCGCGTGTCTTGTCACTGTGGGCCCAAACCTGACTGTCCAGTGGCCTTAGGTGAATGGCGGCCACCGAGCCACCAAGGGGGAGCAGGCGGAGGGACAGCACCCATTCCCCCCTGGGGTGGCCCCACAACATAACCTACCGCGGGGTCCAGATGCATTTCTGCCAAAAGCCGCTGGGTTTTGAGATTTGTTTCTGAGTCTCTGGGATCAGGAGCCAGAGAGGCTGTTTGTGGGCGATGACTTGGGGTCTTGTTGGTATGGGGAGGTAAGGGCTGGCTCCACTCCCATCCCATGAGGCCCCACGTGTCTCATCACTGTGGGCCCAAACCTGACTGTCCTCTGGAGGATTGCAACCACTAGGCCGCCAGGGGGAACAGGCCAAGGCACAAAACCTATTCCCACCTGGGGTGGCCTGGTGCTGGTAACTTATTGCAGGGACAGGACACATTTCTGCCAAAAGCTGTTGGGTTTCAAGATTTGTTTCAGAGTCTCTGGGATCATGGCCATTAAGCAGTTCGATCAGGAACCAGAGAGGCCATGCCTCCAATTACATAGCTGATCCGGAGGTGGTTTGTGGGTGTGTCTCCTACATACCTAACTATTGGCCATTTACTTTCTTGGTAAACTTTGCCCCAAGTTTTTGGGGTCTGGCCAAAGGCACAGTGGCAATTTTGGGGTATCTGGAAGTCTGAAGGCGCCATCAGGCTGCTGATGCACTTGCCTCACAGGTACAGATTGACCTGCTGGCGGCACCATACCCCCTCCTAGGAGATGATTTTTAATGAATATTTTCAGAAATTTTTTAAAATTAGGGAATTTCATTTCTAAGCACACATGTTTTAGGTTATAAAAGAATTAAGAACTTAGCAGTTTGAGATGACTCATGGTATAACCAAATTATCAGGTTAAAGTTTCAACATCTAATATAATGTGAACAATTTCTGTTTATAAAAACAATGTTTTTCTAATTTAAAAACAAATCTAGAAGCTGGGGAGAGGGCTTAAAGGGTTGGAGCACATGCTATGCAGGTGGGAACCCCAGAACACAGGTGTGACCCACCTCACCTCTGCCCCAGCCCCACGAGATATGGCCCAGAAAATCCAAACCAACCAAACAAAACTCCCCACAAAAGTTAAAATCAAGGGGGTTTCTTTAGGTTTACTTGATAGAAGTTTCTGTAAGTTGTATTTTAGAATTTCTTTTTTATGTTTATTGAGCTACAAAGGCCATTAGCACACAAGCTAACCATGCCTCTTTGGTTGGCAAGCCTTGCTAAGACCGAGAGTGTGCCATACCTAGTGATGTGATCAGCTGTGTAATGGTTAGATTGCCATTAGTGACAGGAAACTGTAGTCTTGATTTTTCTGGTGTATGAACCAACCGGTGCTTCCAGACAAGAGAAAGGGGCTTACAGCCTAGTCCTCAGAGAAGTACTTTTCTTGTAGGTCACCATGCCACCATTCCGTGACCCTCTGAAAAAGGCACAATTTGACAGAGATGATGGAAAGAGAACTCTCCTTCAGTGTGAGACCGGTACTGTCTCTAGGTGTTGGGGATTTCCTAAGCCAAGAGCAATGGGAGTTGCGCTCAACGGTGTTAATTTTAGGTCCTTAACTTTCTTGCAGGAAAAATATATTCAATGAAAGAATTTAAAGAGGTAGAGGAGGCCATGCGTCTCTCCAGGTTACCGAAACTCTCTAGGTCACGGTGCTCACTGACTCCCTGTGACTGGTGTAAAATATCTGCATGCTACATAGAGAGTGAGCTCTGTCAGCGGAGCAGGTAATGGTGCTGCAGTTGAATTAGAGATTCTCTTAGAATTTGAAAACTTGGCAGTGTTGAAAATGTTGTTATACCTGTTATTTAAGATTTCAGTTTTCAACTGTGATTTTTGTCATTTTTCTGTTTTGGACATTTATCTTTTCCTTAAAACTAAGGTTTTGTTTTGTTTTGTTTTGACATCACACTGTTGTAAAGGGTGTTCACTTAAGCACACCAATACATTCATGGCAGGAGAACAAGAAGGAGCTAGGTGAGGCCAGCACCTAAGCCCTGGACAAAGCTCTGGGGTCCAAGAGCCTGTTGCTCTTGGGCATTACTGCAAACTCATCATTACTTTGCTTCATGCTCAAGTAATGCAGGGGTGTGCACACACATGGTGTATCTTATCAGAATGGTTACAAGGAGTTTCCTAAAAGCAGCATTTTCTTAGCCTGGAACAGGGAAATTCACCCCAAATGCATACAGCATGGGCATCCTTTTAAAACTTTGTACCCACAAGTAAAATCATCTCTTTAAAGAACATACTATAAATCAATTATAAAAACAAAAATGCGCATTATAAATTTCCATTGTAACAACACCTACATCAGAGGCTACTCCCGGTTTTGTGCTCAGGGATTGCTTCTTGCAGTGCTGTGGGGACCATGAGGGACTGGGGATGGAATCGGACCTGAGTGTGGAGCATGCACTGAGCCAGTTGAGCTGCTTCCCCTCCCCTCCCCTCCCCTCTCCCTTGTTCCTGTTTTTTGAGCCACACCCAAGACTGCTTAGGTTTTACTCTTAGTCCTAGCTCTGTGCTCAGGTATCATTCCTGGAGAGTTTAGGGGCCTTATGGGTGCCTTATGAGCCTTATTGAGTCTGCCATATGCCAGCCCTACCCATTGTACAATCACTCCGGCCACTCCAGCCCCTATTTTGAAGATTTTCTTCATCATTGGTTTTCTTTAACTGGACTATAATAAAGTGTAGGTTCCCCCCCCCCCCTTCTTTCTGTTTATGTTATTTAAGGGTTATCCAAGATTCTTTTACTTGTGGTTGAGTGTCTCATAAATTTGGAGGAAAACTTGGGCTATTTTCACTTTAAATATTTCTATGTTTCATTCTTCCTATTTTTTCCTTGTGAGTCTTCAATGATATGTATGTGAGAGCATTAAATATTGTCTGTTCCATATTTTGGTTGCTGTTGTTTTGGTTTCTGGGCCAGACCCCGTGGTGCTCAGGACTCTAGAGCCACACATCTGCCTGGGGATGTGCGTAGTGGAGAGCACTCACCTTGTATCTGTGAGGCCCGGGGCTGATCCTTGGTGCTGTCACGGAAGAAAAACATATAGAAACCCAGAAAATTCAGCGCCTTGCACACGTGAAGCCTGTGTTCTACCACAGAACCACATCCACAGCTGTGCTTCTCTGTGCATTAGCTTCTTCCTCAGAAGAAAACCTGCTTAGTGGATTTATTTATTTGTTTATTTATTTATTTTATTTAGTGAAACACCATGAGGTACAATTGTAGACTTACAAATTTTTGTGCTTGGATTTCAATTATACAATGATCAAATACCCATCCCTCCATCAGTGCCCATTTTCCACCACCACGGGTCCCAGTATCCCTCCCACCCCCCAACCCCCCACCCCACCCTGCCTCTGTGGCAGGGCATTCCTCTCTGTTCTCTCTCTCCTTTTGGGTGTTGTGGTTTGAAAAAGAGGTATTGAGTGGCAATCATGTTCAGTCTATAGTCTACTTTCAGCATGCATCTTCCATCCTGGAGGATCCTCCCAACACCCTTTATTTGGTGCTCCCTTCTCTCTCTGAGCTGCCTTTTGCCCTAGCATGTGTGGCTGGCCTCCAAGCCATGGAGCAAACCTCCTGGTACTAATCTCGGCCACACTTGGGTGTTAGTCTCCTATTTTGTTACTTTATGTTACCCAGATGGATGCAATCTTTCTATGTCTGTCCCTCTCTTTCTGACTCATTTAGCTTAACATGATACTTTCCATGTAGTACCTGCTTAGTGAATTGAGAGATAATTACTAATTGCTAGGAGCGATAGCACAGCGGGTAGGGCGTTTGCCTTGCACGCAGCCAACATGGCCGACCCGAGTTCGATTCCTCCGCCCCTCTCAGAGAGCCCGGCAAGCTACTGAGAGTATCTCGCCCGAACGGCAAAGCCTGGCAAGCTACCCGTGATGTATTCAGTATGCCAAACACAGTAACAATAAGTCTCACGAAGGAGACATTACTGGGCCTGCTCGAGCAAATCGATGAACAATGGGAGGACTGTGACCGTGACCGTGACCTTATGGTAAGTGCACTTTTGCCTAAAATAGGGACTCTTTCCTTACACAAAGAATTTGTTTCTGTTTCTGCCTCTCTGGCGTTCGGTCCCTATTTCAGCTCCTTCAAAGATCTAGGCTTAGGTTGGAGAGATGGTACAGGGGTAAGGCCGTTGCCTTGCATACAGTCAGGCTGTTTGATCCCTGCCACTGTATATGGTCGGCCGACGCTGTATATGTCTCTGATACTGTATATGAGCTCTACTAGGTATGGCACAAAAATACAAATAACAACAAAACAAAGGTGACAGTCTCTCCAATTTAGTGTTTCCACTTGATCAGCTTCACATCCTCTTAAGGCCTAAGTGGCATCTATTTTCAGCATCTTTTACTTCTGCCAGCCCCTATGGCCCAGCCTCCCACAGTTCTGGCCCCTGCCACTTTTGTGCTTGGATTCTTTCAGGGGAAAAGCACTTTCCAGTAGTGCTCGATCGGACACATTGCTTTGGCTTCTTTTTACACCTCAGCGCTAGGGAATGGTTTACATTTTGCTTAGCATTTTCTTGTACTCAGTAAATAGTAACTTAACCGGCAGTTCTTGTGTGCGCAGGAAGAGTGCTAGTTTTTAGTAATGGTACTCAGAACAGCACACCATGCACATAGTTAGCGTTTAAGAATGATTGCTCCATAAAAGAGAGCTGCCATTGCTTTCAAAACACCCTCACACATGTTATCTTGTTAAAGGTTACGAGTAAGAAAGGATATTAATAGAAGTACTTGTGATCTGAGACACTGCCCAAGTGATTCTAGTTTTCCGAAATCTCAGGAAGAGGAAACAGCATTCATGTCCAGGTAAACGTGCTCCTATTTCATTCGCGATGCTCCCTTGGAACTTGCTTATGGCTCTGCTTGGGCTTGGCGTCCAGCAGGTCCCCCCCGAGGTGGGCTGGGACACAACAGTCCTTGGCTTTTTTGACTTATTTTTTTTGCTGCCACATCTACTGGTTCTTGGGGCTGTCCCCAGCTCACCACTATGCTCAGTGGTGGGTCCTTGTGAAGTGTGGAGGACCATGTAATGCCTGGGATTGAACCCAACCCTCCTTCATGAAAACCATATGCTCTCTCCATGGATCTAGCTCTCTGGCTCATGGCTTTTTAAATTACATTTTATTGTTTTGGAGTTTTGTTTTTTGGGTTTTGGGCCACACCCAGCGGTGCTTAGTGATCACTCTTGGCGGGGTTGGGGACCACCTGGGATGCTGGGGATTGAACCTGGATTAGCCGTGTACAAGGTAAGCACCCTACCCACTGCTCAATTTCTCTAGCTCCTCCACCCCCTTTTTTTTTTTGTTGTTTGGGCGCCACACCTGTAAATTATCAGGGGTTACTCCTAGCTCTTTTCTCATGAATTGGTGGGTTCGGGGGACCATATGGTAAGCTGGGGATCAAACCTGGGTCAGCCATGTGCAAGGCAAACGCCTTACCTGCTGTAGAATCCAATCCTTCCAGCCCCACTTTTTAAATTTTAAAGAACAAAATGCCAACTGATTCAGAAATTATAAGCTCATAAAAATGGTTAGTAACTCACATTAAAGTTAAATATTAGGGACTGGACTAGTTTTGGTGGTACTAGCTGTCCAGTATTCTACCCTGAGTCAGGAGGTTAGACATTAAGTGAGACATGATACTAAGCCTATACAAAAACACTGTCACAGTGATCCAATTACAGAATTTAAGGGAATAGTCGCATAATTTATTATCCAATAAAAGTTATGCTATTCTTCATATTGCTAGATGGAGGGAATGTAAAGTAGTTTAACAACTTTGGAAAATGGTTGGACAGTTTCTTAAAGTGTTAACATGAAATTACCGTGTAATCCATTCAGCACCTTAGCTCTTACATTTCTACCAAAAAAATAATGAGGGCTATTTAGGGGCTGGAGAGATAGTACCGTGGATAGGGCACTTGCCCTGCACATGGCCCTCCCTGGTTTGATTCCCAGCCCCAGTGTAACCCCCTTGGGCCTGAGGAGTGATCCCTGAGCGCAGCGTCAGGTGTGACCCAGAACAAAACAAAAAAAAAAAGAAAAAAGAGGGAAATAGGTATTTGTGTCTACGCAGACTTGTACATGCGTGTTTACGGCAGCATTACTCAAAACAACCTAAAAGTGGAAACAATGCAGATGTTCATCAGCTAAGAAATGGTTAAACTAAGTGTGGGGTATCCATACAGTGGAATGTTATTTGGCAACTACAGGAAGTGCTGATAAATCCTGCAGAGTGGGCAAACTTCAAAACCATATAATTAGTGACAGAAGACAACCACAAGAGAATATATAGTACCACTGTATCTCTCTGGGCTGTCAGGAAGGCTAATCTTGAGAGATAGGATGCAGTGGTTGGTTGCTCAGTGCTGTGACCAGGATTGGGGGCAATTGTAGTTAGATTGTGGTGCTGACTGCCTAGCTCTGTAAATATGTTTAAAGTAGTTGATTTAGACACTTCAAATAAAATCATTTAATAATTTGTGAACTCTAGGAGACCTTTTTTTAAAAAAAATCACTTAATCACTTAACTTCCCGTTAGTCGTCGATTTGCTCGAGCGGGCGCCAGTAACGTCTCCATTTGTTCCTGTCGTGTGCTAGTGTAGCCCAATGGCATCTGTTCGCTCCGGGAACATGAAGGGCCTCAAACCGATAGTTCATGATCTTGATGAAGAAGTCTGACCATCTGGTAGGTGGGCGGCCCCGCGGTCTTTTGACATCCCGTGGAATCCAGTCGGTAACAGCTCTAGTCCAGCCGTCATCTTTAAATCTCATTACGTGACCAGCCCCTCTGATTTTCGACACCTTGGCAAATGAGACAGCGTCCCTGATTCTTGATCGTCGATGGATGTCAGAACTCCGGAATCTTTCTCTCATTTGAGTGAAACGTGATATTCCAAGCATAGCTCTTTTTATTCTTCTTTGGGAGACCTGAATAGTGTTCTCATCTTGTTTGCGTAGGGCCCAGGTCTCTGAGGCATATGTTAATGCAGGAAGAACAGTGGAATCAAAGAGATGTGCCCGGAGCCGGAGGTTCTTCGTCCTCTTAGCTATTTCTTTGATGTTCTTGAAGGCGTTCCAAGCCGCTCTCTTCCTCCTGCGCAGCTCGGGTGCCAGGTCATTTGTCATGTTGACCTCTCGACCTAGGTACACATAGCTGTTGCATTGGCAGATGGTCGTTCCATTGAGAGTGAATGGGGTGTCAGGAACGAGGCTGTTTCTCATAAACATTGTCTTCGTAAGATTCATCTGTAGTCCTACCTTTCCACACTCACGGTCAAAGTCGGCCAGCATTTGTGCCGCTTGGCTGATGTTTGGTGTTATTAAAACAATGTCATCAGCAAAGCGGAGGTGGTGTAGTTGCCGACCATCTATCTTCACTCCCATTCCTTCCCATTCCAGTCATTGCATGATGTTCTCGAGGGTGGCGCTGAAGAGTTTCGGTGAAATGGTATTACCCTGCTGCACCCCTCTCTTGACATCAACAATCACTTCTTTGTAGAATGGTGAGATCCTGGTAGTGAATCCGCAATACAGCTCACGGAGGATCCTGATGTATTGGGCTTGAATGCCCTGATTTGCTAGGGCTTCGATGACCGCTTCTGTCTCAACAGAATCAAAGGCCTTCTTTAAATCAATGAACGTTAAACAGAGCAGCATCTTGAACTCCCGAGAAACCTCAATAAGCTTGGTTATCGTGTGGATATGGTTGATGGTGCTGAATCCTTTGTGGAACACTGCTTGCTCGCATGGTTGTCCTTCATCTAGTGTTCTGCCAATCCTATTTAGGATGACTCGAGTGAACAACTTGTAGATAACAGACAATAGGCAGATCGGGCGATAGTTGCCAATGTCATGGATGTCTCCCTTCTTGAACAGTAGTACGGTCCTTCTGGTTTTCCATTGGGACGGAACCTTGCATTCAGACAGGTAGCAAGTGAAGAGCCGAGCCAGTGTATTGATGAGTACTGATGGCAGGTTCTTCAGGTGTTCAGGTCTGACCTTGTCTGGGCCGGGTGCTGTTTGTTTCTTTACCGACGAAATGGCGTGTCGGATTTCGGAAGGGAGAACGTTGGGAATGACATATCCATCCTGTGGAATTTGGTATGTTGGCAAGTGGACATGGCTATCGAAGAGATTTGAGTAGAAGTCATGGATAATCTTCTCCATTGCCGTTCTGGAGGATGTGATGGGTCCATCAGGACGTCGGAGGGCAGTCATCTTGGTCTTGCAGTTGGCGAAGGACAGGCGGGTGTTACGAATACTTTTCCCGGCTTCTGCCACATCTACCAGTACTTCTGCTCTTCTCTCTTTGAGGTCTTCCTTGATCGCATCTCTGCACTGCTTTGCGAGCTCGGACGTTAGCTTGCGGTTGCCTGAGGCATGCGCCAAACCACGCTGTCGAATAAGCTCAAGAGTTTTCGAAGATAGGCGATTTTTTGTGGCTATCTCTCTCTTGGCATTCCTCGCACATTCATGGAGGTGCTGAACCAGTCGATCGTATTCCTCATCAATGTTGTCAACAATGGCATCTTCCCATGTTGCCGCAATAGTACCAAAGAGTTCCCAGTTGGTGGTCATTCTGGGAGTTCTCTTTTTGAACTTTGCAGCCCTTTCTCCCTGCTCTGTGAAGTAGAATTTTGCACGAAGGAGACGATGGTCCGATCCCGTTCGAAATTTTGGGACAACAGTGACATCAGTCAGGCAAAACCATCGATTGAATATGATGTGGTCTATTTCGTTGTGGTATCATCCACCGGGAGACTCCCATGTCCATCGTTTAGATTCTGCCTTCTGGAACTGTGAGTTACCATGAATGGTCTTGGTCGACATGATGAACTCAGACAGTCTCTCACCCTGTTCGTTCCATTCTAGGCCATGGGTCCCGATGTGAAGTTCTTCAGCTGATCTTCTCGGTCCTATCTTGGCATTAAAATCTCCCACAATGATCTTGTAGAAGGTGTGGTCTTCTTTATAGAACTTCTCTAGCTCCATGTAGAACTTCTCGATTTCTCTTTCATCATCATGAGATGTTGGTGCGTAGACAACGAAGATAGAAACTGCAGGCAGTGAGCCACATCTATTCAAATGTAAACGTCCGATTCGGGTTGTTAGGCATTCGAATGAATCAATGCTCTTGGCCAAGTTTGTGTTGACAAGGACACCGACGCCTCCAACACCTCTTTTATCGCATGTTCTGAGGAACAGTTCTTCTCCAGTGTCGAAAACGGCATGGTGAGATTGGTGCCTTCTTGTCTTGGTCAGACCAATGATGTCGTACTTGATCATTCGCTCTTGTTCCATCAGGTCCTCGATGGATGCATCTGATGCTAGCGTACGTGCATTGAAAGTACAGACGATCATTTTTGTCTTCCTTCGTTGTGGCAGCCTAGGTCGGCCTTGAGATTTTGTCGGCCTCTCCTTTCTCATCCTTCTCAGTGCTGCCATGTCAGTGAAGCCTTCAGGGTCAGGTGAATGAGACCAGTTGTAGTTACTGGTTTTGGCATATCGAATACACAACAGATAGCTTGCCAGGCTCTTCTGTGCAGGCGGAATACTCTCGGTAGCTTGCCAGTCTTTCTGAGAGGGATAGAGGCTTTTGGGGCGACCTCTAATCACCCTTTTAGGTGTTACCATATTTGAACCCTTTCAAATATGGTACGACAATCCCGGAAGATGGGTATTGGGTATTTAGTGTCTTGTGATGTGTCGCGCGGCCGCTTTGCGGCCGCGCGGGTCCAGAAAGCGGCCTGGAGTGTGGCGACGGCTGGGTAGTGGAAGTAGTGTCGAGAGTGGAAGTCTGCCAGTGGGGTATTTATCTGGGTAGGGTGGGTCTCCTGTGCGCAATTCGATCCCTGGGTGGTTGATGGAAGCAGACAGGGCAGGGTAGGGTGGGGCTCCTGATTAGAATCCCTATATCACCTGTGGTGGTGGGAGCAGGCAGAGAAGCTCTGTCCCTGGGTCCACCGAGCCTGGAGTCCAAGGTCTCAGAGAGTTCCACTTATCTTGTTCTGTGGGTCTTCAGTCGTGCGTGGGTCTCGGCCGGAGCTGCCACGCGGGTCCGGAAAGCGTCCTGGAGTGTGGCGACGGCTGGGTAGTGGAAGTAGTGTCCACTTTTTTTTTAAAAAAAAAAAAAAGAAGAACCTAACAAGTGGCTGGAGGGATAGTACAGCGGGTAGGGCATTTGCCATGTACTGGTTGACTCAGGTTTGATTCCCAGCATCCCATATGGTCCCCCGAGCACCACCAGGAGTAATTCCTGAGTTCATTGCCAGGTGTGACCCAAAAAGCAAAAAAAAAAAAAAAAAAAAGAACCTAACAAGGTAGAAGAAAAATGAACTTCCATGATGTTGTTTAAGGGGTAGGCTACAACATTCTGTTTCTTAAGAGTCAACCCCAGTCATTTCCCTTTCCCTGTTCTGAATTGGCTCAGTCACTGGTGAGTAAATAGTGTGGCAGAGCCAGAGGGATTTTTTGAGATACTTGAGGTTAGCACAGCCTGTGGAGACTGCATGAGTTGACAGCATCCCCAGGGAGCCAGCATTTTAAAGCAGAAATAAGGCTGTTAGAGATAGTGCCAGTGGCACTGGCCCTTGTGGACTTTCTGGTGTTCTGAAATATGGCTTAAGATTTTACAGCTTTGTCTTTTGAAAGAAGACTCAAACTGAGATGTTCAAGGAGTATTGAACTGTGGTAGTTAGAAAGAACAAGTCAGAATCATTCTTGTACACTAGGTCCCAGAGGAGTAAATTCCTGTAAACCCATAACTGCCGACACAACACTGACCTGTTTGGGGTAGGTTTGGGGGGAATCCAAAACATAATAGTATTTAATTTCCAGACTTGGTATAAAAGGAGGAATTTAATCCTCAGATGTCCCCTCAGTAAAGCACAACCATGTTGTCAAAGGGCTTCTATTTTAGAGTAGAGGCTTAAGTCAGTGAGCTCCTTGAAGACGGAGGAGGGATATTGGATTAGGGAGGCACCCTGCTTCCTGTATGGTAGGGGAGTTGTCTTCCCACGAAAGGTACAATGGACAGCTCCGTGATGAGGCTCTTTGATCAGAAGAGGCCTTACTCAGAGATATGATTAAGAAGCAGAAATATCAAATACGGGGATGGGAGGGGCAGGAAATACATATGGGGGGGGGAAGAACATTGGCCTGGAGGAGACATAGGGGTGCAGTGGGGGTCATGGACACTTGGCGGGGTGGGCAGGAACTTTGTACATCAGTACCAGAGACTTGAACTATTGTAACTATCAGCTATAACAATGTAAGAATGAAAATGTTTTTTAAAAGCATCAGCAAATTCAGACATATTACTAGAACAAGGGAAAAGTATTTATTTAGTTCCTTTAAATTTCATGTATAGAACTCATCAACTTCAAATTTAAATAAAATATCAAAGGCTACAATCGAGTTGATAGTTAAGAGAAATCCACCCCCCGACCCCCACCCCTTTCCACACACACATGCACACACACACACACACACACACACACACACACACACACACACTCCCTTTTCTGGTTTCTTCTTACAGAAACAGAGGGCTTTCCTTCCTGGAGGAAATGCGTCTTCGCTCTCAGGAGGGCAAGAAACCAAGCGCCAGAGAGGCTGTGTCTGGGGCGCACCTGCCTTCCGGGAGCCTGGAGCAGCAGGACACGGTGAGAGGGGGTGCTGAGGAATGCCACAGTCTGAGCAGGTGGCACTGTGCGCCCCTGAAAAAGGCAGGAAGGGAGCACGGGCAATAGTTACCCTCCGGCACTGCAGAGGAGGCCGCCCCTGGAGGGGGCACTGTCCCTGCGCCCTACTGAGCCTCTGCTCTGCTTCTGCCCTGTGTCGCCACACTCGCGGCCATTCACCACGGAGCACACTGAGCTGCACCCCAGGTTTCATTCCTTTTAACTCAGCCAAGAGAGGGTCCATATACTAACCGCTTAAAGTAGTAAAATTTAAGAAGGAAAACAGAAGCCCCCAAATTAAAATTGGAAATGTAGAGAGATCTGGAGGTTCACACGGGAAGGAGAGCACAGATCCCACATCCTCGGGCATCTGACACTCCCTGTCAGCCTCTCCACACACCTGCTACCCCTCAGCATCAGGCCTGGTGGTCAGTGCTCAGGCCTGAGGCTGTGGAGCTCCCAGGGCCCTGCAGTGCCAGCGCTACCAGGACCACACCTGGCCGTGCTCAGGGCCTGCAGGGCACCATGATGCTGGGCTTGGAACTTGGGTGCCACTGCTCAGCCCCAAGGGATCCTTGAATGGAAACGTTGTATGTCTAACACCGTTTGCTGCCATGTTGAACATCTTCCCCAGTGCTTGCTTTCATCCTTAACATTTTAACTCTTGAGTTAGGCTGTGTTCGCCAGGCAGGATAAATAAAACAAAACAAAACAAAACAAAATTTTGTGATAAAACAAAATTATGGAAACGCTGGTCTTGAGACCTGACTGCTTTGAGGAGGGAGACAAATGCACACCATGACAGGAGCTTGTAATAAGTGTAATGAGGAAAACTCGACAGGTGGCATGGAGTGGGGGGCAGAGCTGCCCCAACAAGAAAGGACAGCAAGGGGAAAAAATTAAGTTGCTTTATAATCATGCCCTCCAAGCCTTCCTTACATAGTGTTACATGGTTACATGTGTCTTGAGTTTCACTTGCCCCAAACAGGATTATTCCTTCTATTAGCACTTCTGCATCTCTTTTTGACATTAAAAAAAAAATTTTGGTTTTTTTTTTTTTTTTTGGTTTGGAGTTCCCTCCAGTTTTCCCTACTGCAGTGACTAGCACTATAGCTCAGCACTCCCTCTGCATGGCCCATTCCCTTTCCTCGCGAGACCTCTTCCCAGTGTCTCTTCAGAGCAGCTCTCTCTGCTCTGGCTACTTAAAACCCTCCTGCTTGGTGCCTGGCAGCTGAGAGGCTCCTCAGGGAGGGAGGCAGGACAGCCCGTCCCAAGAGGTGAGGGAGGGCCCCCACACGGAGACGAAGAGGCTGGACGAGGAGGCTGAAGCTCGGACGCTCCCTGGGTGCACGGACTCTGGAAGGAGGTCAGCTGCCTTCTCTGCCTTTCCTCCTTCTCGGAAGTGAGAAGCACTGGCGAATGGCAGAAGGAGAAGGCAGAGACTTAGAGGTTTAGGGAGAGAAGGGGAAAAAGAAATCTGGAACTTAGCTCAGTATAAGTCAGCACTCTAGACAGACCGAATCTAGTCTCAGAGCCAGTGGCTGGGGACCCTCAAGTCTGCCTCCTGCGCCCCTGTGTGCCTGCATCCCTGCAGCTATCTGAATCCAGGTGGGGCCAGGAGAGGGGCCGCAGGGGGCCAGGGAAGGACCTGCCAACAAGGGGAGTCATCCAGCCCTGGCAGGAATTGACTTCCAGGGGATCATAGAGCAGGGCCGAGCTCAGTCTGTTCTTACTCCTCTAACATACCTACCTCTCCTTTCCGTCTCTCCTAGGTGTTAGTGCGCCAGAAGCACCTCCCTGATATCTGACAGAGAGAGCAAGCTGCAGCAGATACACCCATTTCTTGTAGGAACCATAAGGCGGGGTGCGAAGGCTTTCAAGAACTGATGTGTGTCTAAGAACACAGTCCATAATAAACTCTACTTAAGTGGGGAGGAGGTTCAGTGTCTGTGTGATAATTAACAACAGTGCCATGTACTGACGGTGGCTGCAAATATATTTCCCCCAGAAGTTAACAAATCCTGCCTGACACACTCATAAAAGGCAGATTGATCAGTGCCTGCCGGGTGGGTTGCCCGTTTCAGTTCATTTAGTCTCTCTCCAAAACCGGTGCGCTCCTTCCCTCAGACATGCCTACGTACTCTCGTGGTTTTCCAAAGGTCTTCAGAAAATAGCAAAGTTCATTCTGAGTTTGACTGTGCACTTGCTGATTCTGTCTGCCACTCTCTGGTCATCTTGAATTTGACACCTGGACACAGGAAGACAGCAGGTCCCAGAGCCTACGAGAACAGAATTGTTCCTGAGGCATTGGGGATACTTGAGAGTTGTTTGAAAGCGTTTGCTGGAGTCACAGCTTTTCCTTCTCTTCTCTGCATTAAACACTCCCGCCACACGCCCTCCCCATCCCAGTCAGCACTCTGGCTTCCACGGAAAGACAGTGGTGTGTCAGTTAACCTGCAGTTACACTCACAAGACTGCATTTTGAACTTGACGCCCACACACAGGATGGAATTTGTTCTGGACACTCACCTCATGGCCAGTCCTGTTTAGTCAATACCATCAAATATTTAGCAAGGCGGCCAAACAGGTTGTCTGCAAATATGCTACCACTTTGTCATAAGGATTTATTTCGAATTAAAGGCAGCAGATGAAACTAGCAGATGAAAAAAAAACACTGAACTTTTTTTTTTTTTTTATTAGTGAAGCACCATGAGGTACAGTTGTAGATTTACAAATCTTTGTGCTTGGGTTTCGGTCATACAATGATCAAATACCCATCCCTCCACCAGTGCCCATTTTCCACAACCATGGATAATATCCCCCCTCCATCCCCCCCCCCCCCCCGCCTCTGTGGCAGGGCATTCCCTTTTGTTCTCTCTCTCCTTTTGGGTGTTGTGGTCTGCAAAAGAGGCATTGAGTGGCAAACATGTTCAGTCCATAGTCTACTTTCAACATGCATCTCCCCTCCTGGGAGGATCCTCCAAACACCCTTTATTTGGTGCTCCCTTCTCTATCTGAACTGCCCTTTCCCCTAGAATACCCGGCTGGCCTCTAAGCTATGGAGTAATCCTCCTGGTGTTGATCTCAGCTATTCTTGGGTATTAATCTAATATTTTGTTACTTTATATCCCCCAGATGAATGCAATCTTTCTATGTCTATCCCTCTCTTTCTGACTCATTTCGCTTAGCATGATACTTTCCATATTGTACCACTTGTATGTAAATTTCATGACTTCATCTTTTCTAAGAGCTACATAGTACTCCATTGTGTAGATATATCAAAGTTTCTTTAACCAGTCATTTGTTCTTGGGCACTCAGGTTTCTTCCAGTTTCTGGCTATTGTAAAGAGTGCTGCAATGAACAAACAAATGCAGATGTCTCTTTGACTACGCATTTTTGCCTCTCTGGGATATATTCCCAGGAGTGGTATCGCTGGGTCAAGTGGGAGCTCAATTTCTAATTTTTTGAGAAACATCCATACTGTTTTCCAAAAGGGCTGAACTAGTGGCATTCCCACCAACAGTGAAGGAGTGTCCCTTTCTCGCCACATCCGCACCAGCATTTGTTCTTTTGAATGTGGGCCAGGTGTGAGATGGTATCTCATTGTGGTTTTGATCTGCAGCTCCCTGATGATTAATGATGTAGAGCATTTTCTCATGTGCTTTTTTGCCATTCGGATTTCTTCTTTGAGAAAGTTTCTGTTGATTTCATTGCCCCATTTTTTGATGGGGTTGGATGTTTTCTTCTTGTGGAGTTCAATCAGTACTTTGTATATCCTTGATTTACTGAACATTTTTTTAAAAAGGTTTTGGACTACACCCGGCAGTGCTCACAGATCACTCCTGGCAGGGTCAGGGGACCATATGGGGTGCTGGGGATGGAACCTGGGTAAGCCATGTGCAAAGCAAAGGCAAACCCCTTATCCACCCCCCTACTACCATTCATGCCCCTCTTCTTGAAAGCAGGAGCATCTTGGGGGTGGAGCAATAGCACAGCGGGTAGGGCGTTTGCCTTGCACGCGGTGGACCCGGGTTGGATTCCCAGCATCCCATATGGTCCCCTGAGCACCGCCAGGGGTAATTCCTGAGTGCAGAGCCAGGAGTGACCCCTGTGCATTGCCGGGTGTGACCCCCCCCAAAAAAGCAGGAGCATCTTGAGTGCTGCCTTCCCTGTGCAATGAGGAAACTTATATTGTCCTGGAAGACAGCTGGGGGTCTGGAAGAATCTGTGACCTCCTGGGAAAGGAGCAGGGGACCTTCTCCAGTCCCCCACAGACATCACCTCCCTTCTCCATTATAGAAGCACTTGGGCCTAACCATGTTCCCTTGCCCAATTTTCCTGCGAATAGTCTTAGATCCACGGAAAGGAGTAAACTGAATTTGTGCGTCTCAGGGGTCGCTGGCGCTGCTCAGAACTCCAAGGGAAAACTCCGCCAGCCTTCCAGCCTACCACGTTCTCCGCAAATGCTTTACTTTAATAATAATAATAATAATAATAACCTTCCCACCAACGGAGTTTCCAAGAGGAGAAAAGCCGGTGTGCTCCCACTAATAGGACCCCCCTCTCCCCAATATTCCTGGAGCCCTCGGTTAGAGACAAACGCCCCAGTTCCTGGGGCATGAGCTCACCTGGCTGAGCTGAAAGAACTGATTGGCTGCGGCCGTTGACCCTCGCTGCGCCCGCGCGCAGAGCTGGGAGAGCTGGTTCCTACCCGTCCAGGCGGGACCCCAGCTTTCCCCCCAGACCCGGGAACCCCATAGCCTTACCTGACTTGGTGGGGGTGGTGGGAGAGGCACAAGTACCCCGTTTTGGAAACTGGTCGGGGACGGGAGAATTGCTTCCACGGCGCGGCGCGCATCGCAGCCCTAGGATTCAAACCGCCTTGGGCACCCAGAGACCAGGTTCTTCCGGGGAGCCCCCTCCTTCCCCACCCATCTCCGATCGGCTCCCCATCCCGCTCCCCGCACCCCACGATTCCTTAGTGATGGCGGTCGACAAGTCGCCCGATATCCTGGAACATTTCAAGGTCGAAAAATTAAAGGAATGGCCCCAGCTGGACGCGGTTGCCTTGATGGAGGTGAACCAGCGTGCAGGGGCGGGCTGGGGACTCCCGGGACCGGGGGACCCCGACCCAGCGCGAGTAGGACAGAGTTAGGTTAAGTCGTTGGATGACTCCCCCAGAGCTGGAGCAGCGCCTGGCATCGCTCAGGGTAATTCCTGGAATGGGACTGGCTAGCATCAGATTTGGGGAACAAGAATCTGGAAAGCCTCAGCATTCCTGGGACACAAGAGCAATGATCTTTCTCCGTCAAGTTTAGCAATTTTATCTGTGTTATTATTTGCCTTCCTGGAAAGAAAAGCCCTTAGCTATTTCCTCCGTGTTGTTCCTTTTGCCTTGGTAAGAGTAAGAGCAAAGAGACAATCAATTTCTGGGTGTGTGTAGGCAGAAAGCTTCCAAAGCACTGGTAGACATCATTAACAGCTGAACGGGGAAGACAGCAGAGAGACAAATAAGGTGTCCTTAATTCGCGTGAACATTGGTCGCCTAACCGTTTGAATGTTAGAATGACTAAAACATGATTTCCCAAGACGCTTGTCAAGGTGCATGTTTCTATTTCCCAAAACACTTTTTACCCTAAGTTTGTTTCCCAGGATCGGGGGGAAATGTTGAGGTGTGGGGTTGTCCTCATGACTTCTTCAAACCCCGGAGTTGGGGTGCTTTTCATTTACTCTTCCCTACCTATAAGAACAAAAGCTTGAAGGTCAATTCATAGTCAACTAATGAAAAACTCTAAAGAGAAGATTTAAGTGCAACAAATATACCTACTGAATGTTGGAGAAGTGATTTAAGACCATTCCTATAATTAGCAAGTTTTTTTTAAAATACTTTAAATATGACTTGGGACCAGGGACATAAGTTAATGATAAAGCACATTCTTTGCATGTTGCTTGAGGCTCTAAGTTTGATCGTTGGCACAGATAACCCCCGGATTAATAAGATGTAAGAAAGTTGTTTCAGGGGCCAGAGTGATATTACAGTGGGTAGGTCATTTGCCTTTCAAGTAACAAACCAAGATTTGATCCCAGAATCTTATGTGGTCCCCTGAGCACTGCCAGGAGTAATTTCTGAGTGCAGAGCCAGGAGTAAGCCCCAAGTTTTGCCAGGTGAGGCCCCCCCCTAAAAAAACAAACAACTAAATTTATTTCAAAATTAAATTGGATGTTTGACACAGGGAATTTGGATAGGAATTTAGATGAAATAAAATAGACTGAGTTGAACCTGGGTGATAGGGTTATGCAGAATCAGGTTTAAAAACTGATTAAAAACCAGTATACTTGTATACCAGGTTCTAGAGTTACTCTAGATAAGACTCTTGGTAAAATACACTGTCTGGTCATTTTAGTATGCTTCTTCAGGATTTACACTTTCAATTTGTAATTTTAGGAATTAGCCAGAGAAGACATTGATGAAGCTGTGCATGCAATATTATTTAGAGAAAATTATGTTGTGAAGGTAAGAGCTGGCTACAGACTGTGGGTGCTTAGTATGCTCTGGTAAGTGGACATGGAACAAGCCAACCAAGGGTACGTTTCCATGATAATCATGCCTGAGAAAAACGAGCCTCCTCTCAAGTCTTGTCTGTGTTCCATTGACCTAAGGTGGCATCACCTCCTTGATGGATCACTAAGAGATCCATCCTTACATATCTGAAATATTACTCTAACTACTCCTTGTCTTCTTCTGACAGTGAACAGTAATACCCCCTTTCCCATAGTTTGTCAAACAATCCCCCCCTTTTTTTTGCTTTTCAGGTCACACCTGGCGATGCACAGGGGTTACTCCTGGCTCTTCCACTCAGGAATTACTCCTGGCGGTGCTCAGGGGACCATATGGGATGCTGGGAATCGAACTCGGGTCTACCGCGTGCAAGGCAAACTCCCTACCCGCTGTGCTATCTCTCCAGCCCCAAACAATCCCTTTATTAAGGTGTTTTCCTCTCCCCCCAAACCAAACCAAACCAAACCAAACCAAACCAAACCAAACCAAACCAAAAAACAATCACTACAGCAGAAAGGGGCCTAAAGTGAGTAGGGCTCTTGCCTTGCACGCAGCTGACCCCAGGTTGATTCCTGGCACCTCCTGGGCCCCTAGCATGACCAGTAATTATTCTGAGCACAGGACCAGCTATGGCCTTTGAGTACTACTGGGTATGCCCCAAACCAAACCAACAAAAACCCCACTGTTGCTTTTAGGAAATTCAATTTGACCAGAATGGAAATTATTCCTGACTAAAACTTACATCTTTCTCCCATGTCATTCCTATTTGTGGTAGAGTTTATATAAAGCCTCATGAAATGACTTAATGTTTTAGGGTAATGATATGTCAATATGGATAGTTCCTGAACTTAAGGAGGTTTTAATCTCAGTGAAAGGAACTGAAATTGCATGGTGGAATAATAAAGTTCACATACATGCTCTCATTTGAGCATCAGAGGAGGTAGGTGAGGTTGCTCTGCTTTTACAGAAGAGGAGAGAAAAATCAAAAGTTCTATTTTTTTTGGGGTGGAAGACACACCCAAGCAGTGCTCAGGTCTTAGCTCTGTGTCCAAGGATAACTCTAGGTAGGGCTCAGGGGCACTGGGAATTGAACCTGGGTTGACAACATTCAAGGTAAGCACCTAGCCACTGTACTCTCTCTCTTGAAATGTTCATTTTACCTTACAAATTTTGTCATGGATTTTCCTGATGAGGAAAACTAGAACTACAAGATGGGTGACTAGAAAAGGCTTTGAAATCTTTACAAAGAAACAGTTTGGGGGCTGGAGAAATGGTACAGCTGGTAGGGCATTATGCCTTTTCGGCAGCAAGCCCAGCATCCCTTACGGTTCCCCCAGGACCCCAGGAGTAATGCCTGAACACTGCTGGGTGTGACCCCAAACCCAAAATCCAAACAACAGAAAGGAAGTAATTATTTTTTTTAAATTGAATCACAGTGAGACACACAGTTGTTAGGTTCTAACACCCACCCCTTCACCAGTGTACATTTCCTACCACCAATGTCCCCAGTTTCCCTCCTGCCTCCGTCCCCCACCCCCACCCCCCATCCCCGCAGCATTACCTCCCTCTATGGTGGGCACTTTTCTTCTTTCACGAAGCAGAAGTTAAATTGAAGAAACAGAAACTCTCCCAAATAGTTTCTATGAAGCCCATATCTCTCTAATACCAAAAGGAAACAAAGACACCACAAGAAAAGAAAACTATAGGCTGATATCCCTGATGAACATGGATGTGAAGATTCTCGACAAAATACTAGCAAATAAAATCCAACAACTCATCAAAAAGATCATACACCATGACCAAGTGGGATTCATCCCGGGGATGCAGGGATGGTTTAACATTCAGAAATCAATCAACATAATCCATCATATCAACAAAATAAAGATAAAAAACCATATGATCATATTAATAGATGCAGAGAAAGGATTTGACAAGATCCAGCACCAGTTTATGATGTAAACCCTCGCCAAAATGGGGATAGAAGGGACTTTCCTCAATATAGTTAAAGCCATCAACTACATGCCTACAGCAACCATCATCCTCAATGGGGAAAAACTGAGAGCCTTCCCCCTAAGATCAGGCTGAGACAAGGATGCCCACTCTCTCCACTGCTGTTCAATATAGTACTGGAAGTACTTGCAATAGCGATTAGGCAAGAAAAAGATATTAAGGGCATCCAGATAGTAAAGGAAGAAATCAAGTTCTCACTATTCACAGATGATATGATTCTATAATTAGAGAACCCTAAAACCTCTACCAAGAAACTCCTAGAAACAATAGACTTGTTCAGTAAACTTGCAGGCTATAAAATCAATTACCAAAAGTCTATGGCTGAGAGAGAAGAAAGTGACATGAAAAAAACAATCCCGTTCACAATTGTGTCCCAGAAAATCAACTACCTAGGAATTAGCTTAACTAAGGAAGTAAAGGACCTGTACAAAGAAAAGTACAAAATGCTACTTCAGGAAATAAAAGAGGACATGAAGAAATGGAAAGATATCCCCTGCTCATGGATTGGGAGAATTAACATTGTCAAAATGGCAATACTTCCCAAAGCATTGTACAAATTCAATGCGATCCCTATAATGATAACCATGACATTCTTCAAAGAAATAGAGCAAACACTCCTGAAATTCATATGGAACAATAACCACCCATGAAGAGCTAAAGCAATTCTTGGGAAAAAGAAAATGGGAGGAATCAACCTCCTTAACTTCAAACTTTACTACAAAGCAATAATAATTAAAACAGCATGGTACTGGAACAAAGGTAGAGCCACAGACCAATGGAACAGGGTTGAATATACTGACATCTTCCCCACAAGCATATAATCATTTAATCTTTGATAAGGGAGCAATAAATGTGAAGTGGAGCAAGCAAAGCCTCTTTAACAAAGTGTGCTGACAAAACTGGACAGTTACATGCAAAAAACTGGGCTCAGATCTTTGCTTAGCACCAAATACAAAAGTAAGATAAAAATGAATTAAAGACCTCAACATCAACCAGAATCTATAAGGTACATTGAAGAAAAAGTTGGCAAAATCTTCCATGACATTGAAGCTAATGGTATCTTCAAAGATGTCACACCACTGACCAAGCAAGTGAAAACAGAGATAGACAAATGGGACTATCTTAAACCAAGAAGCTTCTGCACTTCAGAAGAAACACTGACTAAAATACAAAGAGAGTCTACAAAATGGGAAAGGATATTTGCCCAATACACATCCGACAAGGGGTTGATTTCAAGGATATACAAAGTACTGGTTGAACTCCACAAGAAGAAAACATCCAACCCCATCAAAAAATGGGGCGACAAAATGAACAAAAACTTTCTCAAAGATGAAATCCAAATGGCAAAAAGTGATATGAGAAAATGATCTACATCATTAATCATCAGGGAGATGCAGATTGAAACAACAATGAGATATCATCTCACACCACAGAGACTGGTCCACATCCAAAAGAACAAAAGCAACCAGTGTTGGCACGAATGTGGCAAGAAAGGGACCCTCCTTCATTGCTGGTGGGAATGCCAACTGGTTCAGCCCTTTTGGAAAACAGTATGGACTATTCTCAAAAAATTAGAAATTGAGCTCCCATTTGACTCAGCAATACCACTCCTGGGAATATATCCCAGAGAGGCAAAAAAGTATAGTCGAAGTGACATCTGCACTTGTGTGTTCATTGCGGCACGGTTTACAATAGCTAGAATCTGGAAAAAACCTGAGTGTCCGAGAACAGATGACTGGTTAGAGAAACTTTGGTACATCTACACAATGGAGTACTATGTAGCTGTTAGAAAAAATGAAGTCATGAAATTTATATACAAGTGGTACTACATGAAAAGTATCATGCTAAGCGAAATGAGTCAGAAAGAGAGGGACAGACATCTGGGGAACATAAAGTAGCAAAATAGGAAACTAACACCCAAGAATAGCCAAGATAAGTATCAGGAGGTTTACTGAATGGCTTTGAGGCCAGCCGCACACGCTAGGGGAAAAGGCAGCTCAGTTAGAGAAGGGAGCACCAAATAAAGGATGTTGAGGGGATCCTCCCAGGATGGGAGATGCGTGCTGAGAGTAGACTCCAGACCGAACATGATTGCCACTCAATGCCTCTTTTGCAAACCACAGCACCCAAAAGGAGCGAGAAAACAAAAGAAAATGCCCTGCCACAAAGGCAGGGTGGGATGGGGAGGGGGAGGGATACTGGGTTCAGTGGTTGTGCAGAATGGGCACTTGTGGAGGGATGGGTGTTTGATTATTGTATAACCGAAACCCGAGCACAAAAATTTGTAAGTCTACAACTGTACCTCATGGTGTTTCACTAATAAAAAAAAAGCAGAAGTTTTACAAGTTAGAATTGTGCCCATCTGAAGGCAAAGTTGAGGTTTGGAAATTTTCTAATTTTTTTTTTCTTTTTGGGTCTCACCCGGCGATGCTCAGGGGTTACTCCTGGCTCTGCACTCAGGAATTACCCCTGGCAGTGCTCAGGGAACTATATGGGATGCTGGGAATCGAACCCGGGTCGGCCGCATGCAAGGCAAACGCCCTACCCGCTGTGCTATCACTCCAGCCCCCAAGGTTTGGAAATTTTCATGAAACTTCCTGTTATCAATTTGTCTTTTTCTTTGTATGTTTTCTTGGGAAGGGTGAGGGGCGGGGACACCCCCGGTGGCACTCAGGGGTTGCTCTTGGCAAGTTTGGGGAACCATATGGGGTGCTGGGGATCAAACCCGGGTAAGCTGCATGCAAGGCAAACGCGATACCCATGTGCTGTCTCTCTGGCCTCTGTCTGTTTGTCTTTCTGAACTTGATTCGGCTGTTCAATTATATTCTGTGCAGAGAGCTGAAGAATGGGAAAAGTGGCCTCTCCCCACAACGTTCCCCCAAACACACGTGCACACACATACACAACACACACACACACTCAAATGACAATTAAAGGAAATTCTTAATCATTTCTTGTTCTTGTTTGTATCTCTTTCTTAGCGCTTGGATACATATCTTAAGGATATAGACGCTCTTAAGGAAAGAAAAAAAGAGTTGTTACATAAAAAGTGGACCGAAAATGTTGCAACCCCCCTTCAGGAGAGCATTATAAAGAAAGTGCTTTCATATCGAGGGTTGAGAAAAAAGAAAGAAGAAAATTTTGAATATTTTTTAAGCCACACAAGGAAAAAGGTACTGAGTTGGTGGTTGTTGTTTCTTTTAGTTTTTGGTGCTTGGAGGCCGCTCCTGGCTCCGTCTCAGGGCTCACTTGTGGTGGTGCTCAGGGGACCAGCTGCAGAGCTGGGATTTGAACCAGGGTCAAAGCCACGACCAAGGCTAGGCAAACACCTGTAACCTTTGCAACATCTCTCTGGCCCTTGAATTGTTATTTTTAAAATAAAGTATAATTTGCTCAAAGGGCCTAGTGCTTGCTTTGATGCAGAGGTGGCGTTTGATCCCTGTACTGCATGGTCCCCTGAGCAGGAGTGACCCCTGAGCACAGAGCCTGGATTAGCCCCTGAGAACTACCACGTGGAGCCCCCTGTCGCCCAAGAGTATAGTTTGAAGCGCTGGACCAACATTTTTATTGCTTTCACAGTCATTGGATTGGAGCAATAGCCCAGTGGGTAGGGCGTTCGCCTTGCACGCGGCTGACCCGGGTTCAATTCCTTTGCTCCTCTCAGAGAGCCCAGCAAGCTACCGAGAGTATCTCGCCCACACAGCAAAGCCTGGCAAGCTACCCGTAACATATTCAATATGCCAAAAACATCCAATATGTCAAACACATTAACAACAAGTCTCACAATGGAGACATTACTGGGCCCGCTTGAGCAAATCGATGAACAACAGGAGGACAGTGCTACAGTGCAGTGCTATACAATCATTGCCAAGTTTACATTTTTGAGTTTGAGATGAAGTCATGAAAGTCGGGGAATAGTCAGAGCTCAGCAGTTAAGCACTTGCCTTGGGTTTGATCCCCGGAACCAAAGAGAACCAAGAGTTCATAGGACAGTCAATATGGAAGTGGAACTTCAGGATTGTCTTTACATAAATGTTAAGAGGATAAGAGTAGCCGAAACCATAGACCACTTCTTATTTAACAGAGACTGGGGGCTTGGTGACGTCATACATGTCCCAGCAATGTCACGTGTCCAGGGCAGCACTTGGGAGGCTGGACCCAATATTTCCCGCCTGTCCCCACTGCCCTCACCCTCAGAGCACAATGGGTTGCCTTCAACTTCAAACATCAGGTCTTTGTGTTCAGGGCATGAGGACGGCATATGAGTGGCACCAGAGGACTTAGCACTGTAGCACCGTCCTCCCAGTGTTCATCAATTTGCTCGAGCGGGCATCAGTAACGTCTCCATTGTGAGACTTGTTACTGTTTTTGGCATATCAAATATGCCACAGGGAACTTGCCAAGCTTTGCCGTGTGGGCGAGATACTCTCGGTAGCTTGCCGGGCTCTTTGAGAGGGGTGGAGGAATCGAACCTGGGCCAACTGGGTCGGCCCCGTGAAAAATCTTTGACAGGAAACAGAGATACTTTTCCCTGGCATCTCCTGGGCCTGAATGGGCCGTGTGTCTCAGAGCAGTGTTGGGGCTGGGCAGAGCGGGTGTGGGTGGGGGGTACTGGCCTGCTTCTCTAAATTCAGTTCCCAAGCATGGATGTGCTCCTGGAAACCAGCTTGCGTGGAGAATTCAGCTTGAATTTACCCTCACTGAAAACCAACTTGAGGCCGCAGAGAACGTGCAGAGGGCCCATGGCAGAGCTTGGAGAAGGGGGTGGAGAAGTCACTCCAGGGGGGGAAGAAGTGGGGACCTGTGAGGGAGGGGGCCTGGCTGGCTGTGTTTTGTGTTGCTTCAATGGAGAGGACTTGTGTAGGCAACGAGGAGTGACAGGCCAGAGTGGAACCCAGGCTAAGAACAAACTGGAGAGTGTTTGCAATGACCAAAAGGACTGTCTGCCAGAAAGACAGGGTTACTCCTGGCTCTGCTCTCAGAAATTACTCCTCCTGACAGTGCTCGGGAGACCAAATAGGGTGCTGGGGATTGAACCTGGAGTGGCTTGAGTACCAAACTCCCTACCTGCTGCACCATCCTTCCAGCCCTATGTTTCACTTACTTCCGAGGTTTCTTCTCACCCTTCGAGTCTATGATTTTACATAAAAACAGAATAAAACATTTGGATTTTTAAAAAATCTGACATGAGCATATTTGTAGGTATTGATGAGCTCTTAGCAGTGTCTTCTGTTTTCCCCTCAAGCCGATTATATTTGGAGAGTTGTATGACCCAGAAGTGTACAACCCTTACTATATGACAACAAAGAGCCCGAGCTATGGAAAGGTGAGGTCATTTCTTTCTTTCTTGATTTTTAGAATCTCTGAGGTCAAAGGGAAAATGGTCACTTGAGAGGCCTTAGGGTCACTCCGTATTCACCTCTGACAGGGCCCATGCCCATGGTGCTGTGTGGGCTGGTTCATGCTCGGACCCTGGGCCTCATGTGCTGGTGCCAGGGGAGGTGGGGGGATGTAACTCGGGATTCCTGCACACACTCAGCCTTCTTTTCATTTGTAATCAAATTTCCCAAAGTGTTTACGCTGGAGTTTGGAACCTGAACCCTGCATGGTCCCCTGCTGGGACATTCCCTCTGTGGACAAGGTTGGCTGCCCGGGTCTTCATCCAGCTTGGCCTTCGGCTGATTTGTTCTCACATTCCTCTGAGGCATTTGCACCCCAGCTCCCGGCCTCTGAAGGACGAGCTTCCATAGAGAGGCGTCCCCTCTGACAGCACCTGCGTCTCTGTACCTCCGAAACTCTCTCCCTTGAAGCTTCACTACAACTCTGTGTTCTCACAGAGTCTCTTTTCTTGTAGGTCACAGTGCCAGCATTTTCTGACCCTCTGTTTAAAAGCCAGCGAAAGAAGGAAGAAGAGAGGAGGGCTCATCTGCAGTATAAGACAGGTGTTCAGTGGTCCCTGGTATCCTAGACACGCTTGTCAAAAAGCTGCCAACCCCCGAGTGGCTGGAGTGACCTTTGAATTTGTTTATTTTGGCTTTGGGGCCACCCTCGACAGAGCTCAGACCTTAACTCCTGGTGGAGCTCAGGGGAGCATATGGGGTGCAGGGAATAGAACCTGGATGGGCTGTGTGCAAGGCAAGTGCCACCCCGGCTTCCCCCCCCGCCCACCCCGCCCCGCCACACGCCACAGCACTCTCTCTCCAGCCCTGGAGTGCTCCTTTGGATTTTGTTCTTGTCCTATAGGAAGGCCTTATTCTTCAAAGGAGTTTAAAGAACTGGAGAAGGCCAAGCAGTATTCCAGATTGCCCCAGTTCCCGTTTCCTTTCCATGATGCGGCTCCCAAGGATCAGTCTAAAGCCTATTTGAAGGCAGAGAGAAGCAAACTTCAGAGGAATTACAGGTGAGCCGTGCCAAGGCTATTCTCTGTCTCCTGCGTTTGCCTGATACAGATGCTGTGGTGTTAGAATCACACTGTGTGTGTGTATGTGTGTATTGGAGATATCTATAACTATATCTATATACACATACACACGTCTTTTCCAGATTTTGCTTTGATTCTCTTTTTTGGTGGGGGAAGTTCACACCTGGCAACGCTCAGGGTTACTCCTGGCTCTGCACTCAGCAATCACTCCCTTCTGGTGGTGCTCAGGGGACTGCATGGGATGCTGGGGATTGATCCCAGGTTGGTCATGTGCAGGGCAATGCCTTACCTGCTGTACTATTGTTCTGGCCCATTGCTTTGATTCTTAAAGGATATTTTCACAGGATCAAGAGTGCAGGGTTGGCACTCTCATTGTCCTCATTATCATTTTGGATTTGGGGTTACGTGGCAGTGCTTAGGAGACCATTTTTGGTTGCATAGTGCACCATAATGGGCTCTTGGGGATCTACCCAGGTTGGCCTTGTGTGAGGCAAGCACAAGGCATAACAGGACTTTTTTTTTTTAAATAAAAGTAAATCCTGTAGTCTTTTATTCTTTTATTATTGTTGTTGTTGCTTTTGGGGTTACACCCAGTGATGCTCAGGGGTTATTCCTGGCTCTGCACTCAGGAATTACCCCTGACGGTGCTTGGGGGACCATATTGGGTCAGTCACATGCAAGGCAAACGCCCTACAAGCTGTACTATTGCTCCAGCCTCTAGTCTTTTATTTTTTCATTGAGCAGCTAGTTCTGCTGTTGTTCTTTTGGAGATAATTATCTTTCTAATTTGGCTGCTTATTTATTTAGACTCCATGATTTACAATGTTGCTTAAATATACCACTTCTTTGGTTGCTTTTAAGGTTTTCCTAGGGCTGGAAAAAAAAAGGTTTTCAAAATCATTCTTCTCCTTCTCCTCCTTCTCTCTCTCCCTCACCCTCTCCCTCTCCCTCTTCTGCTTTGGGCTTGGGGTTACACCCCAAGTAATGCTCAGGGGCTACTCTTGACTCTCTGGGATTTTTTTTTCCTATGGGATTTTTTTGAGTGGTGAAAGTTGTTGGTTCCCAGGGAGGGCTATTATTGGCTCAGTACTCAGGGGTTACTCCTGGGGCCCTGGGCAGAACATCCAGTGCAGGAATTAAACCCAGCCCTCCCGCATGCAAAGAATGTACTCATTCTGCACACCCACTCCTGGCCCTGTGCTCAGAGTTGCTCCTGACAGTTCTCAGGGAACCGTATATGGAACTGGGGATTAAACTTGGGTCTCCGGCATGCAAAACATGTGCTTACCCCAACTGAGCACTCTCCAGCCTCTTTAGTTCTACCTAATATATATATATATTTAATAATCTAATCCACTAAGTTTTTATTTTTAGTTTAGGGAAGGGTCCTTGGACCCAGGGCTGGGGAGGTTCTCCGCTGAGCTCCTGCATCTATTTTAAGTGCGCTGCCTGACGTGGCCACCAGGGGGCGAGAGATTCTGCAAGCCTGGTTCATTTCTCAGAGGCTGGTGGTGAGGAAAAAGTGCTTTTCATGAAAGCTTATAACTATCTCACGGTGATTCAATAAAATTACTAATAAAAAAAGTGGTTTCTTCGGAGGCCAAACCTCCGGGAGGGGGAAAAGAGCCAGAGTTAGCCAATTCATTCCCGAGGGACCTTTTCCTCTCTGAATCTGTGTCCACGACTATCCAATGGTTTCCAGCGAATGACTGTCTTTCGGGGTCACTTTTCTGATGTTTTCTGGTTGTTACCTCTGCAGCCCCTGACTGGACATTCCTCAAAGTCCACCCAAAATAGAAGCCGTGTCATGCTCGTGGACGTTTCCTTTGTGGCCCTCATCCTGTGTTTTGCCGGAATCAACAATGCCTCTTTGTTGTTTCTGTTTCCCCTGGAGATCTGGAAATTTTATCTTCTATTTCTGGTTTTATAGATTATCACTCTCAGCAAATGTTTTTATTTTAACATCAAAAATCATGGAACTCCCCACCCTTAGCAAGACAAAGACTTTACTTCCTGGTCCAGAAGCCTTTAAAATTCCTTACATGGTATTCCTCCCCCACCCTGATTTTTTTTTTTTTTTGGTGGGGGGAGGGTGGCGTGTGACTCCCAAGAATTGCTCAGGGGGCCTGAGGGTCACGCCCGACCACTCTTGGCCAACAAGGCTGAATGGTTCCATGTTCAGACGGCGCGGATGCTTGAACCATGGGTGCTGGGGGCGGGGTGGGGGGAGGGGGAGACACAGGCAGTAATAGGTCAAACTCAGTGCTGCAGGTCAAATGCGGGCTGTTTAGCCTGGCCCTTTCTGGTGGGGTCTGTGCTCTCAGCTACAGGCACCTTCTGAAGCTATAGGTCCCTGCCGGAAAGACCCCAACCCCAGCAGAGCTCTCAGCCAGCCTTCCTTTCTACCCTGTCCCTCATCCCTCCCATCCCACCCCCATGACCGGAGACAGCACAGCAGGGAGAGGGCTTGCTGGTGTGCAGGTGACCCTGATTCAACCCCCAAGGCCACTGTAAGGGTGCCTCCATCACTGCTAAGAGTGATCCTTGGTGTGCCCGCCCCAAGTATCCCCTCCCAGAAAGAGACCTGAACCCCACAGGAGTGTCTGGGTCTGGTTTGGCTGTGTGCAGAGCCCTGAGCTGCATGACTGCTCCCACCTCTGTGCCCCTCTAAGCCCCCTTAGCCTCCCCAACACACACACACACACACACACACACACACACACACACACACACACACACCCCAGGTGAGCAGGGCCCTGGGGCAGCCCTTTCATCTCATCTCCACTTAGCTGGAGTGTTGGAGATGGGGCAGTGCTTGCTGGATGAAGGAATGAATGAATGAAGACTTTTTCTTTTTCTACCCAACGATGCTCAGGAGCTTCTCCTGGCTCTGAGCTCAGGGGTCACTCCTGGGAGTGCTTGGAGTGCCAGGACTGGAATAGGGGTCAGTAGCAGGTGAGGCAAAGGCCGAATCCCCTGTACAGGAAGACTTATTTCCTAACCTTCAGCCCCAAGAAGACTTATGTCCTAGAGGGGCCTGGCCCTGGAGGATCGGAGTAGGAATACACAGGGTGTCTACCAACCCAGAGAGAGCTTGGTTATAAAGTCCGTTAGACTGTCAGAGCTGGAGTGATAACACAGTGGTAGGGCATTTGCCTTGTGTGCAGCCAGCCCGGCCGAGCCAGTTTCGATTCCTTCGCCCCTCTTGGAGAGCCCGGCAAACTACCGAGAGTATTCAATATGCTAAACACAGTAACAAGAAATCTCACAATGGAGACGTTACTGGGCCCACTCGAGCAAATCGATGAACAATGGGAGGACAGACTGTCATGGGAGAAACAGGGACCAAGTGCGTGCCTAGGAGGCTGGAGGCCCTGGGTTCAACCCCTGGCACCACCAGTTCAATCCCAGATGTGACCTGGGTGGCCCTGAGCGGTACCTCTGGGCTGAGTATTGCTGGGAGTGGTCTCCAGAGAGCTTCCCCTCAATAAAAAAAAATGGGTGTCAGAGTGACAGTACAGCAGGAAGGGCGTTTGCCTCACTCGTGGCTGACCTGGGTTCCATCCCTGATATCCCATATGGTCCCCCCCAGGACCGCCAGGAATAGTTCCTGAGCGCAGAGCCAGGAGTTACCCTTGAGCATCGCCAGGTGTGATTCCCCCCACACCCAAGAAAACCCCCTGTGCAAACAACAGAATTGCACCCTGGGTGGCTTCTGAATCAGCAGGCGGGCAGCTGAACCAAGGTGGGTGGGTGAGGAGGCCCTTCTGATGGTGTGGGAGAAGCAGAGAACCTCGGGAAACTTTTTACAGGGGAACAAGCGTCTTTCCTGCTCCCGGATTTCCCCCTCAGACCCGACTATGAGGAGTTTCACCGTAAACTCCTCATAGTGTAAATGTGAAACACCCCCCACCCCTGTGTGAGCATGTGTCGGGGAGCCCAAGGCCTTTCCTGGGGCGGCCAGCAGGGGAGGGATTCGCACTCCCGCATGCCAAGGGCATCAGCAGGACTGTGGGAGCAGGGGTGATGGGCGGGGCGAGGGCGTTGGATGGTACTGGCCTTGGCGGGAAGTGAGCACTGAGTTCTGGAGTGTATTAATGGGCAGCCCAGCACACGGGGTGTGGCCCCATCTGTCCCCACGGGGTCCTGTCTTTGCAGCCCTAAAGATTTCTGCGCAGAAAGCAAGGAGCAGCCTGATAAGGAGAAGAAGGGATCCTGGGGCAGCCAGACTGCTTTCGAGCGCTCCTTCCAGGCGTCCCGGATGGGCAGGCGGGCCCCCGACGGGAGGGGCACGGTGAGCAGCCCGGGGTTGTCACCTCTGTCGCCCGCCCAGGTGCTCCCAGACCCCCAGCTCATGCACACCAGCGGGGCCTTCTGCTGAACCTCAGCCTCCAAGAAGAGGCTGGCGTGGAGGACCCCCGCTGGAGGGGTTCTTGATGGCCCTAGTGCCTGCCTCAAGGTCACTCTGGGGTCCTAATTGCTCCTCCGGAAGGTCTCACTGTCTTGTCTAAGCTGGAGGGCGGGGGGAGGAGAGAGCAGCCCTGGGCTGGGCTGGGGAGGGGGGCTGCGTGTGGGGTCTGCCAGCTGGACGCCCCTTCCCAGCTGCTCTGTCTCCTGCCCTAGGCCACTGGCTTCGGCTGGCAGAGGCCCCATTCCTGCGTGTCCCGGAAGCACAGGCCTTCAGGCCCCTGGAAGGGACTATGAAGACCACCCGCATTTGGGGCCAGTATCTGGCCTCCTTGCAGCCACGCCAGGTACCCAGCAGACCGCTCTGCCAACCGCCCAAGGGGCAGCAGCCAATAAAGGTCCTCTGAGCCCCCTGCAGTGTCCAGTCAGTGCCGCCGCGAGAAACCCTCAGGCCCTTCGTGACTGGGACCCACAGAGTCCCCAGCTCCCACCCCAAGCTCCCCCCGCTAGTCTCTGGCGCCCCATCCCAGTCCCCCAACCCAGCTGAGATGGGGATCCCTCCCCGCAGGGCGCTGTCGCTCAGAGTGGCCGCGCAGAGGATCAGCCCCTTCTCAGGGATGTGCCCGTGCCCTTCAGCATGTCTGGAGAGAACTTCCTCATCTCCAGGAGTCCCCCAAACAGTGCTCGGGGGATCCCAGGGCCTCTTTTGGCAATATTCAGCTAGCCTGGATGGCTGGATCAGTGCTGGGTCTGGCCGTGCTGGGGATTGAACTTGGGGTCCTGCACCTGCACCTCTGACCGCCTCCCCCCTCCCCCGCCCCAGGCTGTCTCCCCATTCCCTGTATTTGATTTTTTTGGGTCACACCCAGCGATGCACAGGGGTTACTCCTGGCTCTGCACTCAGGAATTACTCCTGGCAGTGCTTGGGGGACCATAAGGGATGCTGGGAATCAAACCTGGATCGGCAGCATGCAAGGCAAATGCCCTACTCACTGTGCTATCGCTCTAGCCCCCCAAATAGTGCTACTTTATTTTTATTTATTTATTTTGCTTTTTGGGTCACACCCAGCGATGCACAGGGGGCCACTCTTGGCTCATGCACTCAGGGATTACTCCTGGTAGTACTCTGGGGACCACATGGGATGCTGGGAATCGAACCTGGGTGGACCATGTGCAAGGCAAACGCCCTCCCGGCTGTGCTATGGCTTCAGTCCCCTGCATTTAATTTCTTAAGGGGCGGAGACTTCTAGGCCCCAGGGGTGGTGAACCAATGCTCGCTGCTCAGTGCTCACGCAGAGGCCCGCATGGCCCTCTGTCCTCCAGCATGCCTCGTCACAATGTCGGTGTGAGCCCTGGGTCCCCACTACCCTGGGAGGAGGGTCCTTCAGCAGAGCTCAGAGCCCGGAGCTGTTCCCACACAGCCTGGCGCCCAGCGAGCAGCAGGCAGGCTCTCCACCCACTCTGGCCGCGGTGCACATGTGCGCTGTGCTTGGGTCCTCCTCCTTAAGCAACCTAGTTTGGGGTTCATGTGTGTGTGTGTGTGTGTGTGAGAGAGAGAGAAAGAGAGAGAGACACTTGGTGGTGCTCAGGAATGTGCTTCCAGGGACCAAAACAAGGTGAGCCCTTCACTCGCCCTCCAGAACCCCTCTCTACACTTGAACTCATTAGTTCCCAGGGTCGAGCCTGAGAAGGGTCAGAGATGGATTTGTAAAAATAGGAATCTTCGGGCCGGAGCCATAGTATAGCATTGTAGGGCGTTTGCCTTCCATACAGCAGACCTGGGTTCGACCCCCGGCATGCCATATGGTCCCCCAAGCACCGCCAGGAGTAATTTCCGAGTGCAGAGCCAGAAGTGACCCCTGAGCATCATCGGGTGTGACACAAGAAGAAGAAAAAAATCTGAGGCAGGAGGGGTAGTGCAGCAGGGAGGGCATTTGCCTTGCAGGCAAATGACCTGGGAACAACCCCCCACATCCCATATGTCCCCCTGAGCACTGCCAGGAGCGAGTCCTGAATTCAGAGCCCAGGAGTAAGCCCTGAGCACTGCCAGGTGTGGTTCAAAAACAATGAACCGGAACAGTGAAACTTCTGGTGCTGGAGCTCTAGGGCAGGGGTGAAGGTGCTGGTCTTGAGGGCGGCCGACCCCAGGGGAACCTTGGCAATACACCTGATCCCTGAGCACCGCCAGGGATAGCTCAAAAAATATACTCCACGCTTCCCCCCCCCCACACACACACACATTTTTTGATTTTTGTCTGGCCTTCCTTTGCCCAGTTTTGTATAGACGGAGGGGTGGGGTAATCTGGGGGGCGAATCCTTCCTGCTCTAGCTCCCGGGAGACCCTCTTGTAGAGATGGGGCCAGCTGTTCCCCTGAGCCCCAGCAGCCGGACCCAGAGCTGGACCAGCTGTTCTGGCACTGAATGGGGGCAGGAGCGAGGGGATGACTGTGGTGGGCGTTTCTGCAGCAGAGGGTCCTGCAGGGACATTCGGTCTGTGTGTCCCCTGTCTGCTCCTGAAGAGTTTGTTTCCGAGGCCAACCCGTCCCACCAGCAGACAGCTGGCAAGGCCGACCCCCGCCCCTGTCCCCACCCAGTGCTTCCCTGCAGGAAGGGCACGGTTTCCTCTCAAGGACCTGTAGGAGCTTCTCACACAGTAAATCAGCTGGAAAAAAAAGACATGACAGTGATAAACTTAGATTTTAATTCTCTTTCTGTACATATTGGCAATGATAAAGCTTAGAGACGCATGTCCTATGAAATATGCAAAAAGGGGGGGGCGGAATTTACATAAATAATTTATACTCCAGAAAATTAAAGTTGGAAAAATATCTTCCACATCATTAGCGTTCACAGTATTTGAGGTGATCCCGCTTGGATCCCCAGAGCTGGGCGGAGAGAACGGGGACATGGGAGCGGCGGAAGCGACGCGTCTGCTCGGGCTCCGTCCAGGGCGCGGGTGGACCCCCGGCCCGCGCCTCCTGAGTGGCTGCAGCCCACGGCGGCCGCAGGGCGTGGACTGGCTACAGTTTCCCCCTCCCCGAGCCCCGCACGGCGGGGCCCCGTTTCCACATAATACTCTGGCTAGCCCTGACGTGGAAACGGCCGCCGCACGGCCGGCCTGTGAGCGCTAAGATAAGGCACCGCGACGGGGCTGGGTTCCCTGGGGGGGGGGGGGGGGGGGGGGGGGGGATCCCTGCTGCATAGACTTTAGGGGATCGTGCGCGGGGGGCGCCTGGCGCGCGCGCATGCAGCCTAGGATGGAGAAGCAGGGGCGCTCCTGGGGGCCTGCACCGGCGTCTTAGCCTCCCCACCCTCCCAAACAGCTGGCGGAACCTCCTAGGCCCCTACAGGAGGTTTTTCTGCTCAAAAAGCTGCAGGTCAAAGCGGACCCAGACCTCCCCGGTGGCGACTTCGTGCAGGAGGAGTCGGCGGGTGGTGGGGCCTTTGCTCTCCTGTTCCGTTCGGATTTTGGCCACTGGAACTTCAGTGCGCCCCAGGAAATCTGGGGGAACAGACAGTGGGGGGAGGGGTCCTCTTAGTCATGAGGTTAGAGGGAAGGACAAGCAGCAACGGCTGGGACTTGGGGCTCTGGCACGGCAGCACCCCCGCCCCTAAGGCCAGGCAGCCCGTCTCTGCCCCGGGTTTAGGGTCCCCGGGCCCGGCAGCCCCTCGCCCCGCTGGACTTTACCATCAGGGGAGAACTGGTCCCTGTCGAACACGGTAAGACACAGCACGTCCTGCTGCAGGTCCTTGAGGAAGAACTGGCAGTTGAAGTTCCACTTGGGGTTGAGCGTCTCCTGGATCGTCCTGGTGGTGTAGCTCTGGGAGCCCAGGCTCACCTCACAGTAGGGGTTGCTCTTCCCTGCGGGCACACGAGGCGCCAGTCACCCTTGCAGGTGGCCAGGGCTTCTCTGCAGCCAGGTGGTCCTGCCTGGGCTCACAATGCGGGTGTGACCATCTAGTGGCCCCCCACTGCCACCACCTGGGATGCCTGGACAAGTGTGCAGTGTGCCTGCTGCTGGCTGGTTCATTTTTGGGGGGGGGGGGTCACACCTGGTGATGCTCAGGGGTTACTACAGGCTTTGTACTCAGGAATTAACCCTGGCAGTGCTTGGAGGGTCATATGGGATGCTGAGAATCAAACCCAGATATGCCTTGTGCAAGGCAAATGCCCTACCCGCTGTGCTATCGCTCCAGCCCCAAGGTTGGTTTGTTTCTGTGTTTACACAGCCTGTGTTGCTCAGGGACCACTCCTGGCTCTATGATCAGGAGTGATCCTTAGTGGTGCTCAGGGTTCGTATGCAGTGCCTGGGATTTAAACAGAGCCTTGGCCAGAGTGGCCGCATGCAAGGCAAAGTGCCGTGGCTCCTAGACCATCATTCCAGCACCTTCTTGCTTTGGGGTCCGTGCTCAAATGTGCTCGACTTATTCGTGGCTTTGTGCCCAGGGATCACTTCCGGTGGGCTCGTGGACCATATGTGGTACCAGGGACTGACCTGACTGAGGTCAGCTTTGTGCAAGGCCAGTGCCTTATCCACTGTGTTCTTTCTCTGGCCTGTGCTGGGCTGGTTGCATTATCCATGCAGAAGAACTGAGTCTTTGTGTATATGTGTGTGGGGGCGCGTGCACTGGGGGTTGGGGTTTAGGGGGGACAATGAGCATGATCTTGTTCAGTGGTAGGGGAAACACTGACTTTTTTTTTTTTTGCTTTTTGGGTTGCACCCGGCGATGCACAGGGGTTACTCCTGGCTCTGCACTCAGAAATCACCCCGGCGGTGCTCAGGGGACCATATGGGATGCTGTGAATCGAACCTGGGTTGGCCGCATGCAAGGCAAATGCCCTACCCGCTGTGCTATTGCTCCAGCCCCAACACTGACTTTTCAATCCAGTTTAGTTGAGATGCTGGAGATGTTACCCAGGGCGAGCTTCCCCATGCCCCCCTACCCCCCCACCCCTGGATGTCCCTGAGTCAGTCAGTGGCCCCCTATGAGCCAATGCCCAGGAGGCTCATCCGAGAGGCAGGCCCCCATGGGCGGAGGAAGCATTTACCGTTGGGTTTACAGGCTTTCAGCTCGGTAGCTTCAATGATATGCACCATCAGACGCCCGATGCCTGAGGTCTTCTGTGAGCGAGCTACGACAGAGGAAGAAGTGAGGTGACCTTCTCCCCGGAGAACGGGGGCTGAGGGCGTGGGGATGTAGTGATGCCAGGCTGCCGGCAAAGCTGCTCCTCTGAGCAGCCCTGAGCTTCCAGCCTCCCCCACTCAGCCCACCGTGCCTGACTCTTGGACTTGCATAGTCAGGACCCTCCCTGCCTCGCTGCCTCCTTCCTGGAGGGGTCTACAGACTGCACAGAGCACTCCATCTGCGAGCTGCCCACCGGCCCTGCACACAGAGATGAACACTGCAACGCTCTTCAGAACAGCTCACATGACTGATGGCCCCTTTCTGTCAGGTACATATAGTTCTCACACAAGTTCCACTGATGGAAGTGCCCCAGGGCTGGAGGAGGTGGCACATTCTAACTGCTGTAGCCCAGGGAGAAGGAGGGGACTCTCATGGTCAAGTGTGATCCCTGAGCACAGCCAGGAGCGAGCCCTGAGCACTGCAGGGTGTGGCCCCCAAACAACACAAAAAAAGGTGCTTCAACTTCTAAATGACACTATGTTTGCTTTCTTTTTCTTCCTTTTTGGTTTTGGGGACCACCTCTGGCTCTGTGCTCAGGGATCACTGCTGGCAGTGCTTGGGAGACCACTGGGATGCCGGGGATTGAACCCGGACAGCCACGCACAGGGCGAGCGCCCTACCTGCTGTACTATCTCTCTCCAACACCGATATTCTAAACCACTCACCCTAATTCCAGTGACAGGCTGACACTCCCGCCACAAGGCAGATCTGGAAAGGCCCTTGGTCCCCTGAAGGACGGACTGAAAACCGCTGAGAGAAACGGGGAGTGAGCTCAGGTGCTCTTGTTCAATCTGAGGCTAGTGATGCAGGTTTTATCCTCAGGGGGTTAAACAATGAACAAAATGCTGTGTGGAAAGAGCCTGGTTTCTTAGTTTTTGGTGGTGGTGGTGGTGTGTGTATGTGTGTGTGTGTGTGGGGGGGGGGGGGTGGACCACACCTGGTGTTGTGTATTCAGGGATTACTCCTGGCAGTGCTTGGGGTAGGGGTGGGGGGAGGTTGTCATATGTGGTGCCTGGGATTGAATTTAGGTCAGCTTTAGAGAGATGTCTCGAGAGAGAGAGCGATGTCCCATCTCTCGGGATCCCCCAGCTCCTGATTCCTCGGAAGTCAGGATCAGCAGCATCTTCTCCCAGAGGAGCCACCGCCCATACCCACGAACCTCCCGGGGGGCTCAGGGGGTCTAGCATGGGCCTGGCACTGAGCGAGGCTTGAAGACGTCGCAACAATTAAACATGCAAAAAACGCACTGATAATGTCTGCACAGACTGTGAAGCGAACAATGAAAGCAAATACTCCTCCTTTGCCCAATTAAAAGATTATTACATGCTTCTTGGATGATTCGTTGGTTGACTTTCCCATAGCTAGCCCCTCAAGTACCATTAAGATTTAATTAGCAAAAGCTGATGCACACGTACCTTTCAGGAGCATTTAACAAAATAAGGGAAACCTGAATAAAAAAACACATTCAGCACGGTGGCTCCGGCAGGGGGCCTGGCTTCAGATCATGATGGGTGGAGTGGGAGGAGGGGAGATTTGAGGCTAACAGTGATTCGGAGGCAGCAGTGGGACTGGGCTGGGGTGAGAAACTGTCCCCCCAATCCAGGGAGGGCACAGCCCGCACGGTGCCTGTGTGGGGTCTGCCCGGCCAAGATGCTGGAACAACAAGTTTGGTCTGTGTCAGGATGGAGTCAGGGGTCAGAAGGAGGAAAGTGGGGGTCCAGGCTCTTCCTGACTGAGCTTATGGGGCAGCGGGGCAGGGGGGAGGCCAGCATCTCAGTAGCCCAGGCACCTTGGTGTCCCTGGCTCAGCCCCGCACTTGCAGGGTCTGTGTGGTGCGCCCCCCAGCACCCCGGGGTGCCCGTGGCTACCTTGATACGCCTTTTCCCGCTTCTTCTTCTCCGTGTCGATGTACTGCTCAGAGGCCGCCTTGATCTTCTGCACCCAGGCCGTCCTGGGGGGACCCGAGCGGGATGTTGGGGGCTTCCCCACGCACCCCCAAAGTGCCGCGGAGCTTGGTCGACCCCACCCCACCCCAGCGCCCCACGGCACAGGCCTAGGCTCAGGCCAGGCTGAGGGTCTTGGGACAGTTTCAGATGTGGCCAGGGGCACTGTCCAGCGTCTGGAGATGGGGGGCGGGGGCTGTTTGGCTGGGAGGGCAGAGAGTGGGCAGGGGTCCACTGGTGGAGGTGGAGGTGTCTGAGCAGGAAGTGAGGTGCAGTCTCTGCCCCTGGGGGCAGGACATGTGTGGCCCCGGGGGCTGGACCGAGGGGGGTCCGAGGGGCGCCCCACCCACCTCTCATTAATGTTATCGGTTCGCAGCGTGTAGACCCGGTCGATGTGCGAAATGTGGAAGACGGGCTCGTCGCTGGACGGGTCGGCCGGCAGCTTCACCAGCACCTCGTTGAGGAAAATGGGCTGCGGGGAGCCCGGGGGGGGGGGACACCGTGAGGGCCTGGCCAGCACCCCCTGGGACCCCGTTGGAGTGCACCGCAGGAGAGCAGTGGACACGATGAGATATAAGTAGAAAATAAAATTTAATGTGATACGCTGGAGATTCCAGAGTTGAAAACGTGCATATGTAAACGAGGATGGACATGTTATTATATTGTACTACGTGGCTTTTAATTTTCTTAGTTACCTAGGTCAGCTGCCGAGAGTATCTCGCCCGCACGGCAGAGCCTGGCAAGCTCCCTGTGGCATATTTGATATGCCAAACACGGTAACAACAAGTCTCACAGTGGAGACGTTACTGGGCCCGCTAGAGCAAATCGATGAACAACGGGAGGACAGTGCTACAGTGCTACCTAGGTCAGTATCATATGATATGATCACCAATTGGCTCTTACTGATTTGTTTGCTGGCCATTCTGTTTGCCATTTCTTAAAGTTTGTGGGAATAAGCAATATAAAGTGTATCAGTTATGTGCCTGACGGGGCAGGTTGGG